ATGAGCTACATGCTGCTTCAGATGTTACAGAGAGTCACCATCTTTATCCTCTTCTCAGTTGCCTGTCTCTGTCCAGTGAGCCTCCTATTCCCCAGTCAGATCTCCCTTCCTTACACCCAGTTTTACCCACTGGCTCTCCCCTCAAACTTGAGCACAAGTGCCCCTGGTTTTCACTACACCAGCGTGGCAAGAGAAGCTATTAGTTTCAACTTTTATGCCTTAAAGCTTGCAGTTAGAAAGCAAGGAAGCTGTTTTTTGTCTGTGAAGCCAGTCCACCAAACCAGCACTGATTCCCACCTTCATTTTTACCCTATACTTTCAGCCTTTCCCTCTCTGTAGATCCTAGCACAGCAGCAATACATATGCTCATCTTTCCTGCATGAACACTCAAAAGGAAGAAACAAAACTCTTGCCTTGACCCTATATTTCTTCCAGTATCATCTCCTTCTGGCTCACTTAAAGCCTAATGCAGGCTGACCATACTACCTGCATCACTATCAACCATTACAAGTGCAAGGACTATGCTTCCTGTCCCCTGGAGCTCCTTAAATGTGTGGTGGCCTCATTGTGGCTCTGCTTCTTAAGCACTGTCTTACTGATTCTTAGAAGATTCTAGCATCATTGGTAGTTCCCTTCTGAAAACCCTTTTCATGGCTTCTCCTCTTGGTCAGCGATGTACAACTGAGTTGTTGACTCATCTTCTGTCTGGGTGATCATGAAAGCCAGCTCTGTTCTCATGAAACATATTTACTCATTGGTTTCCACCATACCCAAAGCTTCATCATCCATCTACACTCCCAAGAACCGCACATCCAACTCAGGCCACTTGCATTCAGCTACATTCTAGATACTTTCTCTTGTTTAGATGATCTGCTGGCACCTCAAATCTAGTGTATCTGAAATTGAATTCATCTCCTTTCTAAGAAAATTGATTTATTGTTACTACAAAGGTGATTACAGTTATATGAGTCAGGTATTGAGTACATTTCCTTTCGTAAAGTGTCTTCTGTTCCCTTACTCTTTTCTAACCCCTCCTTCCCATATCTACCCACAGTTTCTTCTGTGTCCAGTGAGCTCCACGGCTGCATTTTTTCACCATTTTCTTTCTTTTTCTTTCCTTCCTTCCTTCCTTCCTTCCTTCCTTCCTTCCTTCCTTCCTTCCTTCCTTCCTCCCTCCCTCCCTTCCTTCCTTCCTCCCTCCCTCCCTCCCTCCCTCTCTCTCTCTTTCTATCTCTCTTTCTTTCTCTCTCTCTATCTCTCTTTCTTTCTTATTGTGAAAATACCGTACAGAGGGGTTATAATTACATGAGCAAGGTAATGAGTACATTTCTTATCAAGCATTGTTGCCTCCTCCTTTGTTTCCCCTTCCCATCCCTTCCCATCTCCCACTCATCCCCCTTTTTTTACCATTTTCTCTTGAGTTCTATACCCTCCCCCCACCCTCCTGAAGATATACACTTGAATACACCATATATAAAGAAAATAAGACAGAATCATCAAAAAATAAAAAAAAGAGAATCTCTTGTTTCCATATTTTGGAGTTCGTTTCTCTATAATTTTATATAAATATGAAGAGGCACATAGATATTACATCTTTTTGTTTCTCTTCTAAGAATATCTTCTTTTGGTCTCACTGTGTGAGTATCTACAGTCCTGTATAATTTATCATATCTCAGTGTCTCTTAGATCTAATTTCCACATCTCAGAGAGAACATGTGCTGTTTGTCTCTGCGAGCTTGGCTTATCTCACTTAACACAATTCGTTATAGTTCTGTCCATTTCCCTGCAAATGGCATTATTCTTTCTAATGGCTGTGAAAATTCCATTGTATATAGGTACCACATTTTTTTTGGATCCACACATTTATTGTGGGGCATCTGGACTGTTTCCATATCTTGGCTATTGTGAATAGTGCAGCAGTGAACATGGATGTGCAGGTGTCTTTATCATATCCCGGCTCATGATGTTCAGGATAGATGCCCAGGTCATCTCCCCTAATTAACTCAGCTTCTGTCTCCAGTCTTTCTTATTTAACTATTTTTGATTTAGTAGTAAATGGTACTGTTCTACATTTGGCAATTTTTAAACTAGAAATCTGGATGTTATGCTTAATCCGTCTACCTCATTGTAGAAGGAAAATCATGAGGAAAAGCAGCTTTGACAGTGACAGAGCTAGTAGGGTTTAAGTACAGGAAGGCTGATCCCACTCCACTGGGTACTGTATACCCATGTTTCATTTCTACAGCTCCAGTCCAGTCATTTCTCTTCATTCTGCTGTGCATGTGTCTAGTTCAGGCTTTATCATGTTTCCTGGATTACTGCTACAACTTATCTACCTTCAGTCCTGTGTCTTCCAACTTCATCTCCATTCTGTGGTCTTAGAAAGTCAAATTGGAGCGTGTATTTCTAGGTGTAAATCCATCCGTGGCTGTTGCTATCATGTTGGGGTTATTCTCATGCTTTTTTTTTTTTTTTTAGTTCATCTCCAGCCCTTCTCTCTAGTTCTGTGTATCTAATACTCCTCTCTTCTCTTTTATGTATGCTTTTTCAGACTTCTAAACCACCAGCCATCTGCTTAGCTAATTCTAAGCATTTCTCAGGTCTTGGATCTAGATGCCTTTTCCTTTAGGAAATGTCTCTTGACCTGTGTGCATGATGCCCTCCCTGCCTCTGTCCTATAATCATTATATGGAAGCACACTTTCTGGGTACACTATGGATTGATTGGCTCAGGGCAGTGCACGTGGCTGTCTCATTGGGAGGAAGTGTGTCTGAACTTTACAGACAGGTGACAGCAGAGCTGCTTTTCCTCTTCCATATGTGGCTAGAAGAAAGAACAGGAAAAAACAGCTCTGAAGATGAAGCTGAGCCTGCAGGCCAGCTGCCTCAGAGCTGAATGCTAGCAAGATTGCTTTCTGGATATTTTTGCCACCTGAGGCTCTGTGTCTCTGACTTCAGCCCAAGTGACTGTAGATGCAGATGTATTTCAAATGTTTGCTGTAAGTTAGGGTTGCTAAAGAACAAAGAGATGCCAGAGAAGTAGAGAGTGAGGAAAAGCAAAGGTAATATATAATGTTCAGGTTAGTGACTTAAGTTTGTGAACATCCCAAGCCACCAAAACATGAGGAACATCAAGTTTTATGTTTTTTTTTTTCCTGTCCATTCTGAATGTCCATAGAATGTCCCCGATACTGTACTCACTTCATCCTTATTCAAAGGTGACATTTTGGCATTTTTTACTTAGTGAAGAGATACAATTAAACTTTTTTTTTTTTAAACAAGAACTGTACTTGTCAACTGTATTTGAGTGATCCAAGTGTTAGACTATGTCAGCTGAAGATGTGCGTTTGTGTGGTGTATTTTGGTAACTGTATTAGGTAGTTCCTGGCATATCATCAAATCCTTTTATCCAGGATTCTAGTTCAGATCCTTATATCCAGGATTCTAGTTCAAGAGTTTTCTAAGAAACTTTAGTATAATAATGCCTTATGCTTGCGCTAATTAATTGACTTTGTGCAAGAAACTCTTTGAGGTAGGTAGGACACGTTTATTTTTACAGGAAAAGAAGTTACAGCAAAAGTCAACCAGTTAATAAATGAAAGCGCTCTGCCCTAATGAGGCCTCATCATGCCTAATCCTCTGTTCTTTCCCTCATGCCTTGTAGGTTTGTGTTCATGATTGTATTTGTATGTAAGCATGCTTCATATATACAGGCAAAGGTAATCAGATTTCTGCTAAGATCTAGAATCAGACCTGACATCTGGTACCTGTTTTATTGTAGATGAAGCCAGATTGAAAGACTTGGCCTAGACTCATAGCAGAAATCTCTCCTTACCAATCTGGAAGGGCAGTGGTTCCTCTTGTAGGATGTAGTCTTTGAAGGAGAAGGTCAGGGTGGTTCTTCCTGAAGAGTTAATTCAGTTAGGGGAAAAACGGTAGGATCCTTAAGGGAAGGGAACCTTTATGTCTAAAATATTCTGTCCCATAGTAGGACTGAGCATGTAGTTGTGTTCAGTAAATACTTGTTGACCAAAGTGTGATCTTTATTATAATGTAGCAGTGGTAAAGGATACTGTCGGATTATTTTTTTAAAAGGCCTAATATGTAAATGAGTGATAATTAATAACAGTTGCATGTTATTTCCTTTACCCATCTGAGGACACACTGGCTAGTAATCAGGCCATCCCTTCCATAAGAAAAGCTATGGCTCAAGTGGTAGAGTGACATACTTGAATGGAAAAAAACGAAGGGTTAGCGTTCAAGCTCCACTATCAGCATGTGCATATGTGTACACACACACAAATATGTATGCACATACATACACACATTTGTGTATTAATGTGCTCAGAAAACCCATTTAGAAAGTCAGTAACTAGGTCTGGGAAGGTGGCTCAGTGATAGAGTGCTTGCCTTGCATGCTCAAGGCCCTGGGTTTGATTCCTCAGCACCACATAAACAAAAAGAAAAAAGCCGGAAGTGGAGCTGTGGCTCAAGTGGTAGAGTGCTAGCCTTGAGCTGAAGAGCTGAGGGACAGCGCCCAGGCCCAGAGTTCAGGCCCCACGACCAGACCCCCCCCAAAAAAAGAAAGAAAGTCAGTAACTATATTCCTTTCTTAAACTTTTATTCAAATATCAGTATTAAGAATGAACTTTTTATTCAGTTTTACTTAAAAAAATGTTAGTAAAATGTTAACACTGCATTTACACTGCCAGTTTTCACTGCAAACAAAATTTCAGCAAATGCGTGTCATGATTAGGTCTTTGGAGCCAGTGTATGAACTCAGCTGTAATTTGTCATTTTGTGGGGAAATGTATATTATTTCTAGTTTTAGGATGGCCTTTCACACAAAACCAGGGTGCTAAGTTTTCTGGAATCTTCCTAGACTAATGTCTACAAGTACACAGGATGACCTGGATCCTCTTTAAACCAAACCAGGAATCAGGGGGTAGCGGTGTCTTACATTCGCCTACATTTGTGAACTCTGATGTGTTTGTCCCACAGGTAAAGCATTTGATATCACCTATGTGCGCCTCAAGTTCCACACCAGCCGCCCAGAGAGCTTTGCCATTTATAAGCGCACTCGGGAAGATGGGCCCTGGGTCCCGTACCAGTACTACAGCGGCTCCTGTGAGAACACCTACTCCAAGGCCAACCGAGGCTTCATCAGAACGGGAGAGGACGAGCAGCAGCCCCTGTGTACAGATGAATTCAGTGACATTTCTCCCCTCACTGGGGGCAATGTGGCCTTTTCAACCTTGGAAGGAAGGCCCAGCGCCTACAACTTTGACAATAGCCCTGTGCTGCAGGTAAGCACTTCCAGGGTAGAGGGGAGTCAGTTCATGTTGCCTACCAGGTGGGAGAGGATGGTGGCAGTGAGGGTGGACTCCCACTGCCCAGGGGAGGGGCCCGAGGAGAATCTGCTTCCACAGACAGGCAGCTTGATTTTATGCTGTGCTCCTGGTACTATTAATAACTCAAGAAAGGTCCTGTCCTTACTAAAGCCTGGTTGATGTAGAAACTTGTAGCCACATCCTGGGATGTCAACTTTTACAAACTTGAAAAAAACTGAACAGTTTCAACTTTAGTTTTTGTGTGTGAGGTAAAAACTTGTACTTCTGATATTTTGAAGAGGATACTTGACCTATCTGGCCAGTTTTCCTGTGTCCTTTATTACCGCCTCTGGATTTGACAAAGAAAAGTACATTCCTTAAAATTAGCAAGAGGAAATAATTGAAGAATTTAAAATGCCACCTGCCTTCAGGATTATATATGAGGACACTTTGGATTTGTCTGGCACTTTTGACTGTCACTGAGAGAACTGTCTTACTTCCAGAAAGGCCAGGAGTTAGTGACAGAGTATCAGTTTATGGTTTTGCTAAAAGTGTTAAATAGAACCCTTTTCCTGTCTAAATGTAGAAAGAGTAAAAGATTGCTTTTTGTTCAATTCTGTGTGCATATATATTCCTTATATATCCTGATATGGAATCTCTGGGAACTTTGTGTATAATTATGGAGATACTGGCGAGCTATGTGCCATTCTCAGTACTTCAGCACAGAATTGGAGGTGCAACTGTCACGTGGCTAAGTGAGCATCTAACCCAAGTGGCACCTGTACAAGAAAGACCTGACATGGTTTTGCAAGTGCTGTGCTCATTTATGATGAGCAGTGTATGACTTCTAAATAGAAAGTTCTGGGGGTTTGTTGGGTGTGTGCTGATCCTGGGGCTTGAACTCAAGGTCTGGGCGCTGTTTCTGAGCTTCTTTTGCTCAAGGCTAGTGCTCTACCATATGATGCACAGCTCTACTTCTGGCTTTTTTTTTTTTTTTAGTCGTGGGGCCTGAACTCTGGGCCTGGGCACTGTCCCTCAGATCTACCACTTGAGCCACAGCACCACTTACAGCTTTCTCTGCTTATGTGGTACTGAGGAATCGAACCCAGGGCCTCATGCGTGCAAGGCAAGCGCTCTACCACTGAGCCACTTTCCTAGCCCCTCTGGCTCTTTTTAGTGTTTTAACCCCCTGTGGGGGGGGGAAAGGAGGGTTAATTAGACATAAGAGTCTCATGGGCTTTCCTACCCAACTTGGCTTTGAACTGTGATCCTCAACTCTGAGCCTCCAGTAGCTAGGATTATAAGTGTGAGCCACTAGCACCTGTCTTTTCTGGACTTCTTTCATCTTTTTCCCCCCTGGGGGGAAAATATTATTATATTCAAGGGCTCATTTTCTAATTTGGTTGTGTGGTTTTGAGCAATGCCAAAAAATGAGAGTGTTTCCCTGTGGGTCCATTTCTCTGCCTTGTGTTTCTTTCTGTAGTTTGCTGGGAGAAACTTCTTGGTTCTATTGTATTTGAGTATTAGTTAACACGTATTATTTAAAACAACAGCATTTTTTGAACAATTATTTGTATTATAATGTATCAAGCACTGTGCTAAGCTATATTAACTCTCTTAACTGTCATCTTAATTCTATAAGTTACTTTTATTATTCCATTTTACAGAAGCAGAATCTTCTCAGGAACGATGTTACTTGTCCTAAATCACAGTTTGAAATGGCAGGACTGAGATTCAAACCTTATAAAGGCTGGCTTCAGAGTCTGCTCTTTTAAAGATGTACATTATGAAAATAATTGGCTTAGCATCAACTTTGGAGAAGTTTTCGTTCTCTTTTCTAAAGGGGAGGTGTGGTGAAGATGTAGCCTGTAGAGGATATAATAAGCACTAGAGATATGTTTAGCTTCTTATGTTATAGAACAATACCAGATTCCTACCGTTGTGGCCATGAGTGGGAGTTGTTACTGAGTTCCAAGTTTGGATATGGTGAAATCATCATGTCTTCTCCTTTCTAATTATACTTGAAACTTCATGAAGATTAACTTTTATGAGCTCTCCATGTTGTTCTAGTTGCCAGGTGTTTGGCATAGTTTAAGGCAATGGTTCTTAGAAGTGTGTCTCTTGCTCTCATGGGGAACCTTCTGGAAGCATAGATGTCTACATTTCTGTACTTGTTCTTTACAATGGTGAAGGTGATTGTGACATACAGTGTCTAGCGGCTCCCTCTCCCTCTCCCCTCTCTCTCTCCCCCTCCCCCTATCCCCCTCCCCCTCCCCCTCCCTTGCATGGTCTTCTTTCCTAAGGTGGCTAGGCTTGGCTTTTCCATGTGGTGGAGGAAGTATCCAAGAGGGCAAGTCCCAATGCCCAGTGCTTCCCAAGCCTCTCCTCGTGTCTCATTGCTGGTGTTCCCTCCAACAGAACCAGCTCCACACACTCCAGCTCAGACCCAGCATGGAAAGGGACTGTACAGGGTGTGGTGCTGGCAGACATGATTCATTAGGATCATTATTTAACCATGTGAGCATCTGATAAAATTAGCTCAACGAAAGAGCCTTTATTATAAGGTCTTAGATCTCATAAAGCCCGGCGGGGAGGTATGGGGCGGGGGGGGGGGGGGGGGGGGGGGGGGGGGGAGGGAGACTGTGCAACCTTTATTCGTTTATTCTTTTTCTTTTTCCTTTTTTGGTTTGCTGGTCCTGGGCTTAAACTCTGGGCCTGGGTGCTGTCCCTGAGTCTCTCTGTGCTCAAGTGCTCTACCACTTGAGCCACAGCGCCACTTCTAGCTTTTTCTGAGTAGTTTATTGGAGATAAGAGTTTCACAGACTTTCCTGCTCTTGGCTAGCTTCAAACCTCAGATCTCAGCCTTCTGAGTAGCTAGGATTACTGGTGTGAACCGCTGGTGCCCGGCTGCCACCTGTATTCTTGTCTTCTACTGTTAAAGTACACTTGCCAACTTGATCAGTTATGGTTTCTTCAAACATATTCACTCAACAAATATTATTTGCACCACTGCTGCATGCTAAACACTAGGAATATGCAGTAAACAAAACCAGGTATTTGTTTCCTACCCTCCTAAAGCTTATTGTCAAGTGATAAAAACAGAATGTAGTGAAATAGACAGTATAAATAAGTCAGGAGAAGGAAATAGAGATTTGGGAGAGTGTAGCAATTTTAAGAGTGCCCAGAGTGCTGTGGGAAAGAGCAAGTCAACTTCGGGCTACATTTGAATGGTACAGGTCAGTATAGTGACATGTTGTTTTGTACATGACTGGATGCATCAGTAGGAGCTGGGTCCAGAGAAAGGGATTGATGGTACCAAATTTGCAGTGGGAGGCAATGACCAGAATATCTGGTATGTTCTCTGACTATATCTGGATTGTGGATTTGGGATGGAGAGAAGGGACATGAACACTGAGTGCCTAATATATGCTTGGTTTCAAAAGGTGTGCTCATTTTAAGACTCTTCATAGTCTTATAAAGAAATTAACTGTATTAATTTTTTTGTTTTTTTTTTGGTCCGGTCGTGGGGCCTGAACTCTGGGCCTGAGCGCTATCCCTCAGCTCTTTAGCTCAAGGCTAGCACTCTACCACTTGAGCCACAGTGCCATTCTTGGTTTTTTCTTTTTGCTTATGTGGTGCTGAGGAATCAAACCCAGGGCCCCAGGCATGCAAGGCAAGCGCTCTACCACTGAGCCACCTTCCCAGCCCAACTGTATTGGTTTTTGAAACAGAGTGATACAGTTACAATGTCTGTGATTATCCAAGAAGGTAAGAGACTCAAGAGAAAAATAAGTAAGGAATTAAAGGAATCACTATTTCCATAGACCTGATACAAGGAAAGAGCATAAGTTAAATATGATATGTGAACTATTTAAAAATTGTCATTACACTTCTATGTCTCATCTTTAGCCCTCTCATTTGTGTTTCTGTTTTTATCTTTTTTTCCTGTAGGAATGGGTAACTGCCACTGACATCAGAGTAACTCTAAATCGTCTAAACACTTTTGGAGATGAAGTTTTTAATGATCCCAAAGTCCTCAAGTCCTATTATTATGCAATCTCTGATTTTGCTGTGGGTGGCAGGTAAGTAGGCTGTTAGATCTTCTTTGAAAGCTTTGGTGTAGAGGTGAACATGGCAGCTTGTTTATGATTGTATTAATACTGTTGCTAGACTTCATGTCAGTAGTTAGGGAGAGTGTATATCTGAAAAGATGGCAGAAGCCTGGAACTTTTTAATAAAGTCTTACCAGTTTTAGAAACCTATGCAATTAGGTTTTCTAAAACTATCAGGTCAACACCTGTAATGAATTCTCAGCGACCATTTAAGCATGAAGCTTCACCATAGGTGTAGTGAAGCTTCTGAAGAAGGCCATACTGACCTGAGAAGGCCTTTTAGAATATTAAAAATAGGGTGATATCTGAATATGTGAAAAATTTAAAGACAGGTTGACAAACCAGACATGATGGTATACACCAATAAAACTGGCATTTGGAATCCTATTTGGGGCTAGATAGCAAGTTCAAGGCCAATCTGGGCTTTTAAGTAAGATCTTGTCTTAAAAAAATAAAAAATAAGATAAAATAAAATAAATATAAAAATACAGGTTGAGCATCCTTAAGCCAGAATTCCAAAATCCAAAATGCTCTAAAATTAAAAAAAAAAAGTTCTGGCCTAATACCCCCATCAAATGAAATCAAATGCAAGCACACTAAAAATATCATATGAAATTACCCTCAGGCTGTATGTCTAAGGCTATATGAGACTTTGGTCTCATTCCAGATATCCCATTATGTACATGTAAATATTCAAAATATTTTTGTAAAACATCTAGAGCATTTCCAATTCCAAGCACTTGGTTTAAGGGATACACAGTACAATTTAGTTATGAGTTTTAAACAAAATGATCAGGCTACAGTAAAAATGATGCCATGAATCCACAGAAATGGAGGGACAAAGGGTGAACAAATGCAGCAGTGCTGCTCACTGGACACTATATTGAAAATGAACTGTACATCTTGTGGGCAGAGACAGGAGGGACAAACTGGGAGAAAGGGAAGGAGTGGCATTGTCCAAAAAGAAATGTACTCATTACCTGAATTATGAAACAATGACTCCTCTGTACATCACCTTTATAATAATTTTTTAAAAGAAAATATGCCATATATCAAGAAAGATGTAGAACTGTCAGGCTACAGAAGTGAATGGGATTTGGCTCTTAAACAGATTGGATCAGGAAAAGGAGGGAAAGATATCTATTAGATGCTAAGAATCTTGACTGTCTTCTCTTGTGAAAAATCATTTTTGTGTTCCTAGTGTAGAGTTGATCCTCAGTGAGTTGCTATGAACAGTAATCAATGGGAAGTTGAGCACGCTTTTGGACAAAGGCTTTGATATCAACACTGGGTTAGGGAGACTAGTATACAAGCAGGATGAAAGTAGATACAAGTGAGAGCATTTGTATTTCTGTTAGGACACTATATAATCTAAGTATTAGGCAAGAAATACTTGACAAACTAGTAGCAATAGAATGGGAAGGAACATTGCATTGCAAAGGAACAATTATTGGGACTGTAATTTTAAAGCTTAATGATAAGGAGAACAGTGTTATTGTTAAATTAAGAAAGTTGGTATTGCTGGGCGTTGGTGGCTCACACCTGTAATCCTAGTTACTGAGGAGGCTGAGATCTGAGGATCACGGTTCATAGCCAGCCTGGGCAGAAAAGTCCGTGAGACTCTTATCTCCAATAAACCACCAGAAAACTGGAAGTGGAACTGTGGCTCAAGTGGTAGAGCACCCACCTTGAGCTGGAGAACACAGGGACAGTGCCCAAAGAAAGTTGATATTACAAACAGTCATGGATGGCTCACACCTGCATTACCAGCTACTCCGTAGGCTGAGATCTGAGGATCACAATTCAAAGCCAGCCCAGGCAGGAAAGTCCATGAGACTTCTATCTCAAATTAACCACCAAAAAGCCAGAAGTGAAGCCGTGGCTCAGGTAGTAGAGTGCTAGCCTTGAGTGCAAAAGCTCAGGGACAGCACTTAAGCCCTGAGTTCAAGTCTCTGGATCAATACAAGAACATTGGCATATAGCCAGATACCAATGACTCATACCTGTAATCCTACTTACTCAGCAGGCTGAGATAGGAAGATCATGATTTGAAGCCAGCCCAAGCAAGAAAGTCCATGAGACTCTTATCATTAATTAATAAGCAAAAAGCCAAAAGTAGAGCAAGCAGTGGTGGAGTGTGCCAGCCTTGAGCAAAAAAGCTAAGGGATAGTTCCAAGGCTCTGAGTTCAAGTCCCAAGACTGGGACCAACCCCCAAAAAAAAGCTAATTTGGGGGGATGATAGAATAATAATGTTGAGTTGTAGACATGTAAAATCTAAGCTTGTGTAGCAGTTATGGACAGGAGTTTGAGAGAAGGGTAATAAATTCTGGGGATCTAAATTCAGGCCTCATCTTGGAACACTGAAAATGATTCCACATTTTTTTGTTTGGTGTGTGTGTGCGTGCCTGCGTGCATGCGCGCCTGTGTGTGTACATGTACCCTGGGACTCTGGACCTGAGCACTGTCACTGAGAATTTTGCTTAGGGCTAGTGCTCTACTGTTTGTGACACAGCTCCACTTTAGGCTTTTTGGTGGTTAATCAGAGATAGTCTCACAGACTTTCTTGCCCAGGCTGGCTTCAAACCATGATCTTCAGATCTCAGCCTCCTGCATAGCTAAGATTATAGGTATGAGATACCAGTGCCCAGCTTTGTTTACATTTATTTTTGTGTTAGTTGCAGCTATGGAATAGATTGTTATCTTTAAGGAAGCAAGTCAGAGAAATGTCCCTGTTCCGTGGTACATTATCATTCATGGTGTTTCCTGAGTTTATTAGCGTACCTGATTCTAGGGGATCCTTCAGGGATTCTACTCTATAGTCAATCTGAGGGAATAGTCCAACTACTGGGCATCTTTATGAAAGATGAGATATCCAATTTAGTGTCTTACTACCTTCAAATAGAAATACATTAGAATCACTGAAGCACATTATCTTTGAGATTCATTCACTTTTGTGCCTTTGCAGTCCTGAGCACATAAATAAAGCACCCCTGGTTAGGTTTTAGAGCTAGGTATCTCATCACAGGTGAGGTTTGTGTAAGAGACAGGAGGGCTTCATACCCAGGCAGGTGACATTCAGAACCTTATACCCTTTTAATTACTCTGTTTGCTGCCTCCTGATGCACTCGATGTCAGGAATAGATCCTGCAGGTATCCTCAGAAACTTGCCAGGACCTTTCCTCCCATGTCTAAGTATCCTCTCCCTGTTACAGAAAGCTACCTTCTGTGAACTTGATCGTGTATAGTCTCTTAGTTTATACTTGGGAGTGGTCAAAGTCAAAGGCAGTCCTAGGTTGTCTTTTTTTCTTCTTTTCAAAATACATTGTTATGGTAAAGGTGATATACAGAGGGGTTACATTTACATAAGTCAGATAATGAGTACATTCCTTTTTGAACAGTGTCACCTCTTCTTTCAGTTTATCCCAGTTTTTCCATCCTCCACAAATTATATAGTTCATTTTCAACATAGTATCCAGTGAATATCACTGCTGCATTGTTCACCCTTTGTCCCTTCATTTCTGTGCTTCCTCCTTACCCTCTCCAAACAGATAAACTTACAAACTAGACAAAAGGTACAGAAAACAAAAGCGGCAACAAAGGAAGAAGAAAGAAGCCCTCTTGTTTCAATTTGGAATTCATTTTGATTAATACCATTTTATGCGATCATATGTATATAGCTATTGAGCCTTTGTGATCCTCTCTTAAGACAGAAACAAGCAAGCTTTAAAATATTAGGGAATACTCTGCAAACCATAATGCCAAAAACTTCAAGAATCTGGAAGAATGGAAATATTCCTACAGAATATTGACATACCCAAACTGAACCAAGAAAATTTAAACCAATTAAAAAGACCTGTAACAAGTAATGAAATTGAAATGACAATGATACCTCCCATCCAAGAAAAACCCAGGACTCAATGGATTTGCAGCCAAATTCTGTAAGGCATTCAAAGGAGAACTCACTCTAATATTACTCAAACTCTTCAATGAAATTGAAAGAGAAAGATCACTACCAAACTCATTCTAGGAAGCCAACATAACCCTCATCTCAATACTAGTTAGGAACCCATCAAAGAGAGGGAACCATAGACCTAGGTTGTCTTAGTGCTCCGTGTCTCTTCTCTCCCCAGGTGTAAATGTAACGGACACGCCAGCGAGTGTGTGAAGAATGAGTATGACAAGCTGGTGTGTAATTGCAAGCACAACACATATGGAGTAGACTGTGAAAAGTGCCTTCCTTTCTTCAATGATCGGCCATGGAGGAGGGCGACTGCGGAAAGTGCCAGCGAATGCCTACGTGAGTGTCGCTGGCATGGTCTGCCCAGTTACCTTGAGGGTTCAAGAGGTGAAAGAAGGGATGGGAGGCTTCCTTTTATTCCTCCCTGAAAGCAAAACTCTGCAACAGAGAGTCATTGAGTGACTAGGACAGTAAACTGCATATATGTCCTCAGAGGAAAGTCATAGATTGAAGGCAGTTGGCCAAGAAAATGTGTTCCCTTCACAAATACTACCTTGGAAGCAGTATCTTCAGGGTTTGGAAATTTGCTTAGATTAAAACCCTATAACAGCATAGCCTTCTGTAATACAACCTGTCTAGTCTTTGTGACCATTTAAAACACTGCCATCACTCAGTATCCACAGGAGATTGGTTCCAGAACCCTCCTCAGATACCAAAATCCATGACTGCTTAAGCCTTCATGTATGATGACATATATAACCAACAAATAACCTCCCGTATATTTTAAAACCTCTCTAAGGTTACTAATGCAACATAAAGGTTGTAGTGTATTGTTAAAGGCAAGTATTTTCAGTTGGCAGTTGGTTGAGTCTGTGGGTGTGGAATCTGCAAGTACAGGGTTCTTCCTGTCGGTGCATAACTTACTCATGCAGCCTACTTGATCAGCATGGGTCAGATACAATGAGTCCAGTCCAAGTCTGCTGTTCAGCAGATCGTGTCTTGAAATTATTTTTCCTATCTCACTCAAGAGTGCAGTGTGGGAAATCCTGCCTCCCTTTGGTAGAGGAAGAATAGGTCCGGTGTTCCTAGGAAAGGACACAATGAAGAAGTTAAAACGCATTGTTGATCCCTTCATTATGTCATGTTTTGTTCTGAAGAGACAGAAAGCAAACTTAGGAGAAAGGAATTAAGGAATCATGATTTGCTGAGGCCCTAATGAACTTGAAAAGCAACTGTAGTCTTCTTATGTTCTTATAAATCTCCCACATCATGCTATGTTGGGAATAAGAAAGAAGACACTCTGAACTTGTAGCAATAATTGGCAAAAACATTAAGAAGGGACCTGCTCAGGACTACTTTTGTTGAGCTGCTGGAGCAGATGTCCTTTTCCATTGTTTTTTTTTTTTTTCCCCCTCAATAAATCCAAGTTGCAGGTAAAATATACAGCCTCCCCCAGCATTTCTAAGCACTTGCTTAGCTTTTTTCTTCCACTGCTGCATTTAAATATCCGGTATTAAAAGATATAAAGATTAGCGCAAAAAAAATGAATTAGTCTTAAAATGAAGCTCCTAAATAAATAGACACATGGCATTGAAAAGTATCCTTAATCATGTCCTATGTTTAGTTTGTACAGGAAATAATAAGAAAAACAAATGAAACATTGCCAGCATTAGCAAATGAACTGTCTGGCTGCTGGAGCTTAGAGGATTTGGGGAGGAACTAAAGTCAATTGGACTTGGTCCTTGGTGCCTCTCCGCGATCCTTCAGAGTGAAGCTGTGGGATGGTGTGACTTCTACAGTACTGTCAGGACTCTGAGAGTAAAAAGGAAGGACATGATAGCTACCTCCTCTTGTTTGCTGTCAGTGAGGAAGGCCTGGCATGTGCTCTAGCTCTGGTGTGGAACAGTGTGAACATAAGCATTGCTGTGCTTTGTAGTATCAGCACAAGCTGCATTGGCTGGGTTGATTGAGGTGTTAATCTAGGCAGCTTGCAGGGAAAGAAATAGCTAAAGAAGAAAGAGGGTGCTATGAAACTAAACTAATAAACCTCAGAGTTTTGGTGCCAGTGACTCACGTGTCTATAAAGATTTTCATTTAAGCTACTTGCTGGTAGTTCATATTTGTAATCCTAGCTACTCTGGAGACCGAGACCTATAGGATGGTGGGTTGAAGCCAGCCCAGGCAGAAAAGTCTGCTAGACCACACCTCTAATTAATCAGCAAAACGCCAGACTGAAGGGTGGCTCATGTGGTAGAATGCCAGCTGAGGTTAAGAAGCTCAGCAAGAGAATGAGATCCCCAAATTTAAGCCTTGTTCCAGAAACCAAAACAAGAATTTTCAGTTATATTATAAAAAGAATTAATTGTTTGGAAGGAAGAAAAGAAGAAAAAGACAATACACATCTCCAAATATTTGTTTTAATTGTTTTTTTTATTGTGAAAATACCATACAGAGGGGTTACAATTACATGAGCAAGGTAATGAGTACATTTCTTTTCTTTTTTTTTTTGGGTCCAGTCGTGGGGCTTGAACTCTGGGCTTGGGCGCTGTCCCTCAGCTCTTCAGCTCAAGGCTAGCGCTCTACCACTTGAGCCACAGCGCCACTTCCGGCTTTTTTCTGTTTGCTTATGTGGTGCTGAGGAATCAAACCCTGGGCCTCAGTCATACAAGGCAAGTGCTCTACCACTGAGCCACCTTCCCAGCCCCATGTGTACATTTCTTATCAAGCATTGTTGCTTCCTCCTTTGTTTCCCCTACCATCCCTGCCCTCCCATCTCCCCCCAGCACAAGGTGTAGTTTGTTTTTCGATATAACGTCTTATCCAAATATTGTATAGACTCTTTTTTTTTTGAAGTGGCTATTTACTAGTGTGGTCATAGACCATCGCGTCCAGAAGGATAAATCAATGTGTTTTGAAATATCCTAAACCAAATATATATAGACTCTTATTAGCATATATTTCTTGCACAAGGGAGAAGAGTTTCATTGTGATTTTTCCACATAAACTTACAAAGTACTAAAGTAAAACCCTCATATTAAAATGTTTTTAGCAATAGCTTGCTTGATCTGAAACCAATAAAACTATTTAATAGAGCTCAAAATCGTGTCTATCCCTATTACTATCATTTTTTTGTGTTTGTTTTTGTTGATGATTCTAGGGTTTGGGCTTAGGGTTCTGTGTGCTTGTCGGGCAGATACTCTCCCATTTCAGCGATGTCCTCAGCCCTAGGTGCTTAAAATGAGGTTCTGTTTAACAGATAGCCCATTTGGGATGTGGCTCCTGTAGATGGATACATCTGAAGGATCACATTTTCCTTGAATTCTGCTTTCAGAGGCACTCATCTTAATGCATGTGTCTCTAGTTTCCCTACTCTGATTATGCAGGCAATTTGGCACTTTGAAAGTTGGTGTCATGTCTTGTGTCTGAATCATTTTTTGAGGCCTGAATGTTAAAATTGACAGATGTGCATGAATTGGTAACTTGGTCTTAGAGTTAGTACTACTAAAGGCAGAGGATAAAGAGAGAAATGGTAAATTGACTTGGTTTTTACTTACATATAGACAACTTCGTGGGGGCAGATTCTTCTCTGAATACAGAGTTCCTTTTTTTTTTTTTTTTGAATACAGAGTTCCTTTTATTTTTTGATAGCCCTGTTTGTTTTTTATAAGGATGAGTATTTCTTTAGTAAACTGGATCATCTAGCTGTATAAAACGTTTTATTGACATACTGATTGTTGTTCTTAATGTTTAATAAGCAGTGCATCTATCTGATGACCATTTTTAGCCTATGCTACCTGTTGAGAAAGAAATAGAGGAAGTTGTGGTTTGGTTTTCTCAGAGGCTTTTGGAATGTTGTTCTTCCCAGTACAGAGATGTGACTAACATGACATATGTGATTTGGCCAACAGCATGTGACTGCAATGGCCGATCGCAGGAATGCTACTTTGACCCTGAACTATACCGTTCCACTGGCCACGGAGGCCACTGCACCAACTGCCAGGATAATACGGATGGTGCCAACTGTGAGAGGTGCCGGGAGAACTTCTTCCGCCTTGGGAACAATGAAGCCTGCTCTCCATGCCACTGTAGTCCTGTTGGTAAGTGACAGGAAGGACCCACTCCAACCTGATGAATTCCTGAGGTGGCACCACTAAATATGGAGGCACAGTCATGATTGTAGCATGTAAATGACTCAGAATCTTCCTCTAACCCTACTCTTAACTCCCTTTAAACAACTAGAACTTTCAGAGGATTTTTCAATGTGTGTAAAAGTGTGGGGTAGCCTGAGTAATGGTTCTGTAAATAATTAGCAAGAGGGTCCATAGAGACCATTTGAACTTTGACTATGAGGATCTTTCTTGTTAATGATTTTGTTTAGTCTAATCTGTTTAGATGTCTGACCTGTTTTTCAGCATATTGCTGTGTGTCTAGAAAAGCACGGCATTTTTAGTCTATTTTACTTTTTAGAGAGTTGGGTTATTTTTTTCTTGTCCAGGCCTGTATATACTTAAATCCTAAGCAGGGACATTAAGGAACTTCTGCTTGCCCCAGAGCGGTAACTTATCTTGTGTACAGTAAACAGTTTGATACACAGTGATCTGTTTAATTCATGAGTAGATCCACGTTAGGGTAGGCCTGGAAAGTTAAACCATCATGGCCTAAAAGGGCATAATTTTGGGAGTTTTGATTAAAAATTTGCTCTTTATTCCCTCTGTAATCCAGAGATTACACACTGGTTGGCAGATGTTGTTTCTGGTTACTGATTGTCTTTCTTACCCATTCATCTCACTTACATGACTGTTCAGACCTATGATTGATGGTGAACTCATTCAATTTTAGGTTCTCTGAGCACACAGTGTGATAGTTACGGCAGATGCAGCTGTAAGCCAGGAGTGATGGGTGACAAGTGTGATCGATGCCAGCCTGGATTCCATTCCCTCACGGAGGCAGGATGCAGGTAAGATGCCATTAAAACCAGAAAGGGACAGAGTCTATGTATTAGCTGAGTCTTTGTAGGGCAACAATACCTATACATCTACGTATAGTCAACATATAAATACATCTACAGCTTAATAAACATTTTTCCCCATGGTAATTGTAGCAAGATTCAAGACTAGCTGTAATGATGAGCCACTAAAGCTTTGGTTTGCATAGAGTATGAGTTTTTGATAGAATGAATGTGATGAACGTCCTTGGTTAAAACCAAATCCAGATACAAAAATGACTTCAGGACCTGGTACCGGTGGCTCACTCCTATAATCCTAAACACTCAGGAGGCTGAGATCTGAGCATCCTGGTTCAAAGCCAGCCCAGGCAGGAAAGTCTGTGAGACTCGTATCTCACAGTTAACCAGAAGAAACTGGAAAAGATTTGGCTCCAGTAGGTTCATTTTATTCTACATGAATTGTATATAAAATCTATTACTGTGTAAAGGGAAAAGTTGACCCTGAGTGGAATTTCTTCCCTCCCTGCTCTTCTCTCATTGTCTTACTCTATTTTTCATCAAATAGACCATGCTCCTGTGATCCTTCTGGCAGCACAGATGAGTGTAATGCTGAAACGGGAAGATGTGTTTGCAAGGACAATGTGGAAGGCTTCAATTGTGAGAGGTAAACTCATTCATACAAAAACCTCCTGTATTTGTATTTCCACTATTATACTACTTTAGGTTTTTTTTTTTAAACAAAGAAAAGAACTGATTTTGTTGGCAGAAAAAATAACTGGTTGTGTCTAATCTTTTTCAGATGCAAACCTGGGTTCTTTAATCTGGAAGCATCGAATCCTCGGGGTTGCACGCCCTGCTTCTGCTTTGGGCATTCTTCTGTCTGTACAAATGCGGTTGGCTTCAGTGCTTACACCATATCCTCTGCTTTTCACACTGGTAATTCAGACCTTATCTCCAACCCCCTAAAACGGAGACTACACTCAAAATATATGCTTATTTTCTTGAATCAGTACCCTTTAAGGGTTTTTTGATGATAGAAATACTTCATGTTATTTAACATAGATTTGTCTTGGTTGTCCCTTTAATAAAAGCATGTATTTGATTTTAGAATTTACTTTAGTGAGCAGTGAGTACAAGTGTTAACATGAATACTAATAAGGCCAAAGTAGTTTACAGGATGTAGCATAGGTACTCTTGTAGGATCCTCCTATTCAAAACTTTTATTGATGGCTTTCTAGATACCAGTGCAGCTGGGAAGGTGGCTCAGTTGGTAGAGTGCTTGCCTTGCATGCATGAGGCCCTGGGTTCGATTCCTCAGCACCACATAAGCAGAAAAAGCTGGAAGTTTCACTGTGGCTCAAGGCTAGTCTTGAGCTGAGGAGCCGAAGGACAGTGCCTAGGCACAAAGTTCAAGCCCCACAACTGACCAAAAAAGATACCGGTACAGTCATGTGCATTTTTGTGGGCCCTGTACTCAAGGAGTTTGTGATTTAAAATGCTTGTGTCTCTGTGCTTGCCTGCAGATGAGGATGGGTGGCGTGTGGAACAGAGGGATGGTTCGGAAGCATCTCTTGACTGGTCCTCTGAGAGACGAGATATCGCTGTGATCTCAGATAGCTACTTTCCTAGGTACTTCATTGCCCCCGGTAAGTGAGGCTAGACAGCAGTATGGCTTGCTGGGTACCACCTCTCTTTAGTCTTAGTCTGACCGTCTTGCCGATCTTGTATCTGATTTCAGCGAAGTTCTTGGGCAACCAGGTCTTGAGTTATGGACAGAACTTTTCCTTCTCCTTCCGAGTGGACCGACGAGACACTCGCCTCTCTGCAGAAGACCTGGTGCTTGAGGGAGCTGGCTTGAGAGTGTCTGTACCCTTGATTGCCCAGGGCAACTCCTATCCAAGCGAGACCACAGTGAAATACACCTTCAGGTAAACTGCCTTCTTTGTAAAATTAGAGCTTGTCACAGTGACATACTGGTGTAAGCCCACCACTATGGAGCCTGAGGAAAGAGGGTTTTTAGCTTGAATGCAGCTTCAGCTATATAGTGCTTTGAGGCCAGCCTGGACTATATGGAGTTGAAAACTTGACTCAAACAAATAAAGACTTGGACCTGCATAATGAAAGCAATTTTTATATCTGAGTTATCTGGCCTCAAGATGTTCAAGAAAAGGTTGTCATTGTCAATGGGATTTTATAAAAGGGAACCTTCATTGTTAACATTTTCTTTTCTGATTTGGTTAGATTATTAGAACATTGCATTGTTGATGGCATAAATGACCAAGAAACGATTTCACAGAATCCAGGACTCTTCTTCAGTAATTAAGTTGGACCTTTCTCTCTTTCTAGGCTCCATGAAGCAACAGATTACCCTTGGAGGCCTACACTTTCCCCTTTTGAATTTCAGAAGCTCCTCAACAATTTGACTTCTATTAAGATCCGTGGGACATATAGTGAGAGAAGTAAGTTATGATCTAATAATGATAATATGACTATTACTATTTTTGGTGCCAGTCTTGGGGAATTGAACTCAGGGCCTGGATGCTGTCCTTAAGCTTTTGTGCTCTAGGCTAGTACCCCATCACTTGAGCCACACCTCCAATTCTGGCTTTTTGGTGGTTATGTTTCAATTAAAGAGAGCTATATACGCAGATCATGGCAGAAGGATCTATAATGAAAAGATTTACCTCTTCTAACACTGTTAACACTGATTCTGAAGAGTAACTGCTCTATTATGTATGAATTACATGTTTTTTTTACCTGCCTTGGGCATGAGAAAAGCGGTTAGTTATAATGTAAGGAGTATTGTTTTATAATTCATAAGTCAATTGGGTTTTACATGGTGTACAGCTTTTCTAAAGGTTGAATAATTCTGGCTCAAGTTGCTTAACCTCCATTTTCTTTTATTTGCTATGTAATGATCCAGGGCTTTCTGAACCATGTCCTAATTTACGAAAAATTACATATTCAGTGAACATTTGCTTTAAGTTTAGATAAACAAAAATTTAAAAATATGCTACTTAAATTGTTTTTAAAATGAGGGTCCTTTACTTCAGCAAGGTGAGACTGTATGTAGGAGTGGAGTCATGATAGCCTTGGATGAGTTGTTTTTTGAGATGCCAGCGGGACTATCCAGAGGAAAGTGTCTTGTAAGTAGTTAGAAATGTGCACCTGGGCCTTAGGAAGAAGTTTGGACTAGAGAGCTGTATTTTGTTAGAGAGCTGTATTTTGAAGACTTTCAGCCTGTAGGCATTGATTTTTAAGCTTGGAAACATGATAGAAAAAAGGAAGAAGAGAATTGAATCCTGGAAGTTCAGTTCAGTTGTGTGTTCTAAGGTCCAAGCAAGAAAAGGTTGTGTTTGTTTGTTTTTGTTGGTCATGGGGCTGAACTCTGGGTCTGAGCGCTGTCCCTCAGCTCTTCAGCTCAAGGCTAGTGCCCTGCCACTTGAGCCATAGCGCCACTTGAGGCCTTTTCTGCTTATGTGGTGCTGAGGAATTGAACCCAGGTCCTCATGCATGTGAGGCAAGCACTCTTCCACTGAGCCACCTTCCAAGCCTTGAGTTTGTTTTGTTTTTGTTTTTTTTCTCTCTCTCTTTTTTTTTTTTTTTTGCCAGTCTGGGTCTTAAACCCAGGGCCTGGATGCTGTACCTGAGCCTTTGTGTTTGAGATTAGTGCTCTACCACTTGAGCCACAGCCACTGCCTGGGCTGGCTTTGAACCACAATTCTCAGCCTTCTAAATAGCTAGGATTACAGGCATGAGCCACTGGCTCAAGATTTTTTTTTTTGGGTCCCGTCATGGGGCCTGAACTCTGGGCCTAGGCGCTGTCCCTCAGCTCTTCAGCTCAAGGCTAGTGCTCTACCACTTGAGCCACAGCACCACTTCCGGCTTCTTTTTGTTTATGTGGTGCCGAAGAATCAAACCCAGGGCCTCATGCATGCAAGGCAAGTGCTCTACCACTAAGCTACCTTCCCAGCCCTGGCTCAAGATTTTTAAGGAAAAACATTTGTTAACAAGTTTGGGACAACAGCTACCATTGGGTTTTAGATTGGATGGTTAAGGAATCATGGGTGAGGATTTCTGTTTCCTTATTTTATTTTTTTGGTTGGTCGTAGAGTTTGAACTCTGGGCTTGGGTGCTGTTCTGTGCTCTTCAGCTCAAGGCAAGTGCTCTACCGCTTGAGCTACAGTGCCACTTCCGGTTTTCTAGTGGTTTATTGGAGATAAGAGTCTCTCACAGACTTTCCTGCTTGGACTGGCTTTGAACTGCAATCCTCAGATCTCAGCCTCCTGAGTAGCTAGGATTATAGGCATGAGCCACCAGTGCCTGGCTTGTTTCCTTATTTTTTTTAAGAAGAGTTGAAACTGAAGTCAGATTGCAGGGCTCTGAAAACTCATTTGAAGGTAATGAAAGAAAGAATATTCTTCTAAGAAATTTGTTTTTAAGGAAAGGAAAGCAGATAGAATATATAATTTGGGAGTAGGAAAAAAGAGTGAAGGAAGAATATTTTGAGAATAGGACAAAATGTTTATAGTATTAGATGCATCTTAACCAGATCATGCATTAGGATTTAACTGGGCAAAAAATAATGATAATAACTGTATTAAAAGTTAAGCTCATATAGTGGAATTCTGTGCCTCTATGAGAAAAAATGGCATTGCCTCATTTATTAGGAAATGGAAAGACTTGGAAAAAATTATATTAAGTGAAGTAAGCCAGGCCAAAAGAAACATAGGTCCCATGGTTTCCCATTTGCAATAACTAGTACATGTCTAGGACAAAGCAGAGAAGGTCAAAGACTATGTACATATGACCACATGAGATAATGTTAAGCAAAATGTACCCCAAGACAGGGATGTAAGTGTTTTTTTCTTGCTTGCTAGTGTTTTTTTTGGGGGGGGGTCCAGTTGTGGGGCCTGAACTCTGGGCCTGGGCCCTGTCCCTCAGCTCTTCAGCTCAAGGCTAGCACTCTACCACTTGAGCCACAGCACCACTTCCGGCTTTTTTCTTTTTGCTTATGTGGTGCTGAGGAATTGAACCCAGGGCCTCATGCATGCAAGGCAAGCGCTCTACCACTGAGCCACCTTCCCAGCCCCTCTTACAATGTGTACTATATGATTCTTTTGTTTCCTTTGTATGTTCTTCCCCCACAGCATAAATCCTATTTTCACTGGGTTTGATGCCGGTGTTCTGCATCTTGTATATACATTTTTGTAATTGGGGGAGGGGAAGGAATATTGAGGAATGCTTAAATGGGGATGCAGGCTGACCCATTGTGATGATAGATGTACAGGACACTATGTTGAAAACGAGCTTGACAATGTCGGTATAGGAGCGGGGTGGGGGGAGTTGGGGAGGTAAGGAGGGAAGTGATGGTAAGGGGAAAACAAAGGAGGAGGTAATGATGCTTGCTACAAAAACTCATTACCCTACTCATGTAACTGTAACCCCTCTGTACAACATATATATAAGTTAAGCTCAAGCCAATAATAGAAATAACCTTCAGCCTTAGGCTTTCAATTTCTAAGTGAATTTTATAAATAGCAAGTGATCTTTCATAACATGGGAGAAACATGCTTTATATATTAGACTGCAAAAGACTAGAGAATGGAATGGAGTATGAGGATATCACCAAGGCCACTGTCTTTGTAGAATCTTGCTGCTTGTCTTATCAGATGGCATACTACTGGATCACATGAGTCTTTAGTCTAAGTCCCTATAAGGTTTCTTCTGTTTTTATACCCTGGCAAAAAGAGAGAAGCATGGTGAAATATGACATTATGGCTTTAGAATAATTGTATATTTGTCAGAAATATTCTGGAATATTAGAACTAACTTACTAGGTTTTGCTGTTGAATAGAGGGCAAAGATGAAAAAGTTCAATGTTTCCTGTCCACATGTTTTCCCTGCTTTCTTATCCTTGAATTCTAGAGTCAGTGTCTGCTTCTCTGGCAGATCTGCTTCTCTGATTAAGCAGATCATTTTCTTCCATATTCTTGCTCATATTTCTTCTTTCCCCAAATGATTTTCCAGTGCTTTTAATTTTTCATATTAGTAATTGGGAAAACTTTAAAATTACCTTATCTAGTGGATGGATTAAGCTGATTGATGATTTTCTGTGGAATTTCGGGTCTGGTTCCCCTTTCCAGTTATCGATATCCCATACATTTTTGGGAAATGGGAGGCACTTGGGTGATTCCTTCTTTCTTCCTATGCAGATACTGGATATTTGGATGATGTCACCCTGGCAAGTGCCCGTCCTGGGCCTGGGGTCCCTGCAACTTGGGTAGAGTCCTGCACCTGTCCTGTGGGCTATGGAGGGCAGTTTTGTGAGACATGCCTCCCAGGTTATAGAAGAGAGACTCCAAGTCTTGGCCCTTATAGTCCCTGTGTGCTTTGTACCTGCAATGGACACAGTGAGACCTGTGACCCTGAGACAGGTAGGAAGGCCAGCTTTGACAGGTGCTGGGCCTGATTTCTCTTTATTGGTCGGAGGGGGGGTCGGTGTTGGGGGGGGAGGAGGAAATGCCCATTGTCATGTTTACTTGTGTACTCGTACAGTGCTTCATGCCTGCTCTCTGAATAGGTGTCTGCAACTGCAGAGACAATACGGCTGGCCCCCACTGTGAGAAGTGCAGTGATGGCTTCTATGGAGACTCTACTGCAGGTACCAACTCTGACTGCCAGCCTTGTCCATGCCCTGGAGGCTCAAGTTGTGCTGTTGTTCCCAAGACAAAGGAGGTGGTGTGCACCAACTGTCCAACTGGTACCACTGGTAAGTCCGTCTTTCCATCTGTGTTTACTGCTCCACCTTATAAAAAGTCCAGAGGGCTGGGAGCCTGGTTCCGTTGGGGAGTGCCTGTCTACCACCCAAGCAGAGTCTGCATTCATCTCCAGTACCAATAATAATAGAAATCATAATAGAAATAGAAACTAAAGACTGTAATAGGACCAGAAGGCCTAGGAGAGAGCTGTGGTTTTTGTTTTATTTTGTTTTTGTTTTTATGATGTGATTTTTCTTGTGGGCAAAGGTTTTGTAGCAACAACTTCATTGTGGATTCATAAATGCGTATCAGATGGCTAATACTATCTAATATGTACTAAGTATGGCCAGGCACTGTCCTAAGCATTTACATGTACTGCGTTATTAAATCTCATTACCATGAGGGAAGTTCTGCTATTTTCATGTTTCAGCTAATAAACTGAGGTACAGAGACATTACATTTCATGTTTAAGGCTGTATGGCTAAGGCTTTGGTGAAGCAGGGATTCCAGCCCAGTCAGAATGGGTCCACAGGTAATGATCACTACAATGTACTCTCTCATAAGATAAGAAGCCAAACTTGGTTTTTAGTGTTTGGGACTCTGGGACTCGATATAAAGTGGTCATTTTAAAATCCTTTCTGTAAATGGTTTTCAGTATATCAGAGTCCACATTTAGTTAGGGAAAAAATGTTTATAGCTTTGGCTAAACCTCTTCTCATTCTATGTGTTTTGATCCTTTTCAAGAAAAACAAAATTGTATCTCTTGTAGCTACCCAAACAACTCCCCATGCTGAGCAGGTAGAGGCCCCCTGACACTACAGCCTCCCTTTCTGTCTGCTTTGCCTACCCTGTAACAAATGTTCTGACCAAGCTTTGGGGACAGCATTGGACTCTATAATCCTCCTGAAATTTTAGTGTAATTTAGGTTCTATTGGGTACAGAGATATCCAGAGCCCAGCTTGAGCTGACGGTGGAAGGAAAGGAAAGATGAAGAGCAATGAGTTCAGCAGAGGCAAGAGCTCTGATTTTAGCTCTGCTTTTTCTTCTTGCCAGGCATGTCAGCTGTGCCAGAGTTGGTTAACTGCTCTGTTTCCTTAGCTCTAAGGAGATGGCAAGGGATGATTTCTACATTCAGTTGTGCAAATCTCTGATTCTGTACTAGTTGACCCAGCTCACAAGTGACAGATAGCATATGTCTTGTATATGTTGAGAGAATGATCCTGTTCACTCTCATTTGGAAAGCTTAGAGTAGTAAGAGCGGCACTTCATCTTTTCGGAGAGGAAAGGAGTTAGAAGCGTGGCTTGAACTCAAGGCCTGGGCACTTTCCCTTACCTTTTTTCATTAAAGGCTGGTGCTCTACTCCTTGAGTCACACTTCTACTTACAACTTTTTTCTAATTAATTGGAGGTAAGATTCTCACAGACTTTTTTTTTACCCTGGCTAGCTTTGAACTGCAATCCTCACATCTCAATCCCCTGAGTAGTTAGGATTACAGATGTGAGTTACTGGCTAACATTTACTCTTTTTAAATAGTATCAGCCAAAACAAATACGTGTGAATATGCCATTCCTGGGACTGGAGAGGCTTAACTCACTTACAAAGTACTTTTTTTTTTTTTGAGACAGAATCTCATTATGAACCCAGACTAGCCTTGAACTCATGCTCTTCTTTTCTTATTCTCCCAAGTGTTGGGATTACACTCTTGTACCTCCATGCTCATTTTACAAAGCACTTGTTAAACAAAGCTCTTTGGTTTTTCAGAACATTTGAAGTGAGGTAGGCAAGTCAGTGGCTGTCTTCATGATCAGAAACAGTAGTCACAGTCCCTCCACTGGTGTGACATCATACCAGAGTTGTGGCCCCATCCCTGCCCTCCACCATGGCATGTTACAAGGGACACAGTTAGACCAGACCACATTCTAATCACTGATCATCTATAGCCAGAAATGTCAAAGACCTTCCTTTCAGTAACATCAGATGGATTGTCTTACCCTCAGGCAAGAGATGTGAACTCTGTGACGATGGCTACTTTGGAGACCCGCTGGGCAGCAATGGCCCCGTGAGGCTATGCCGCTTGTGCCAGTGTAATGACAACATCGATCCCAATGCGGTTGGGAACTGCAATCGCCTGACAGGAGAATGTCTGAAATGCATCTATAACACGGCTGGCTTCTACTGTGACCGCTGCAAAGAAGGGTTTTTTGGAAATCCCCTGGCTCCCAATCCAGCAGACAAATGCAAAGGTAACGAACCAGCAGCTTGCCACACTGCCACCAGTATACTTTTCTATGACAATTATTGCATGTCACGGCCGTTTGGTGTAATGTAGCACACTCTCCAATAAACATTTGACCCACTTGCATAATTTAAAACTTTTTCTATCTATCATACTAAAAAGTAAAGAACAAAAAGGGAAAATTAATTTTCATGTGTTTTATTTTTTATTTTTATTTTTTGTCAGTCATAAGACTTGAACTCAGGGCCTGAACACTGTTCCTGAGCTCTTTTGCTCAAGGCTACCACTCTACCATTTTGAGCCCCAGCTCCAGTTCTGGTTTTCCAGTGATACTGGAGATGAGTCATGAATGTTCAGTATTTTAGCATTTTCCTGTACTACTTTGTATCTTGTGCTGTCTCTGTCTTCCTCCCCTAGCCTGCAGTTGCAATCCATATGGGACGATGAGACAGCAGAGCAACTGTAACTCGGTGACCGGGCAATGTGAGTGTCTGCCTCATGTGTCTGGCCGGGACTGCAGTGCTTGTGATCCCGGCTTCTACAACCTGCACAGCGGGCAGGGCTGTGAGAGGTAAGACACCAGTTGGGTGAAAGTCATCTTTGTGTGTCATGAGTGTTTATAGGTTGTGTTTAACAGTTGGCCTGATTGTGTTCAGGAATGATTTTACTGCCTCATACAGGAATGACTCCCTTTTGGGAGAGTACTAGAGAATTATAAGTAATAACTAGCGAATTGCAATAGGACAAAGGAATGGAGCACAGAGGCGGCCACAGCTGTCTGAATCATTTGGACTATATCTTCAAACTACAACTTACAAGATTCTTTCTGAGAAGAGATTCTCCAGGGTTGCAGCCTGGGAACTCCTGTCAGTGCCAGTCAGATGTTCCTGGTTAGTGCCCATAGGTACCAGTTGGAGACCACTGATAGTGATTAGGCATGAAAAGAGACCCTAACTAGCACTTAGTAGTTCCTTGAACTCTAGGGACTTAATAATCCTTAAGGCTCTGTCCCAGTAACCCTTAACATGGTTTTGAATACAGATTGCGTCAGTATAGTGCTGACACACAGCACAAAGCTTTGCTCCAATACTGTTTTGTCTTACTGAGAAATGTCCTCTGATCCTTTTCAGGTGTGACTGCCATGCTTTGGGTTCCACCAACGGGCAGTGTGACATCCGCACAGGCCAGTGTGAGTGCCAGCCTGGCATCACTGGTCAGCACTGTGAGCGCTGTGAAGTCAACCACTTTGGGTTTGGACCCGAAGGCTGCAAACGTAAGATGTGTTGGTAGACCTTGGTAGACATGTTGGTAGATAGCTAGAAATCACTTCCTGATTCTAGTCTGCACGTAATGTGCAGGAAGGACTTTGACTACCTCTGTCTGGCCCCCAGGCTTATAAACGGGGCCCATACAAGACCACAGTGGGTGCTTTATTCCCTGAATATTGTTTTTTTTCTAAAACTCTGGAAATTGAGGGAAGGCTTCTCTGTTTCTTTGCCACTATCTTGTTCCTATATCCTTTATTGTGTGTGCTTTTTTTGTGTGTGCTCATACTGGGGCTTGAACTCAGAGCCCTATACTTTTGTTTAGCAGTCTCAATCAAGGCTACTACTTTACCATTTGAGCTACAGCTCCACTTCTGTTTTTTGTATTGATTGGAGATAAGAGTCTCATGGACTTTATCTACAGAGGCTGGCTTTGAACCTCAGTCCTTAGATCTCAGGCTCCTGGGTAGCTGGAATTACAGGCATGAGCCACCCGTACTTGACCTTCCAGGGTATTATTTTGTTTTTTCCCCCTCCCTTTTTAAAGTTTCAAATCTCCCTTTGATTCCTGAGCTTGTGTAGTGAAAGTTTATTGATCACTTTGGGTGCAGACAGTGCCCAGTGAAGGATTCTGCCACAGTGTGTTTATTGACTCCTGGGCTGCAGTTGCTTCCCACTCTTGGGGCCTTTTGGAGCCGGTTGCATATAAGCATCTGCTTCTCTTTGGCATAAACACTTGCTTGGAATTGGGCCTCAGAACAGTTTTGTCTTTTGCTTTCTGAATTCCTTCGTTTCTCTTGTGGAATGTAGCCTAAGTCATTTGACTCAGTTCAGAGAACAAAGTGAGTAAACAAGCTATAAAATAATGCAAGGGAAGCATTAGCACTTCCGCTTCTCATCCATAGACAAATATTAGGCAATAGAGAGGTGGCGGGACAGACGGTCAGTTTAATGATTCCTGTAATTTTGTTGCGATAAACTCTCACTGTGTAGCCCAGGCTGGCTGCAAACCTGTGGCCCTCCTGTGCGCTGATATTACAAGCATGCACACCTGGCATTTTTTTTTTTTGGTCAGTTGTGGGGCTTGAACTCTGGGCTTGGGCACTGTCCCTATGCACTTCAGCTCAAGGCGAGAGCTCTACCACTTGAGCCACAACGCCACTTCCGGTTTTCTAGTGGTTTGTTGGAGATTAAGAGTCTCACGGACTTTCCTGCCTGGGCTGGCTTTGAACCACGAGCCTCAGATCTCAGCCTCCTGAGTAGCTAGGATTACAGGCGTGAGCCTGTCATGCTCAGCCACATCTGGCATTTCTATAACTACAGCAGTATGAAGTTTGCCCCCAAAGGATTCACATTTTACTTTACAGCTTATTTTCACTTTAAATAGGCCTTTAAGAAAATTTCTTAGAATAACAGTACAGGCAGGCAGCTTATTGTTAATATTCTGAGTTAAGGAAAAACACCAAACTGGTGCTTCCTTCCTTTGCTTACATACTGTTGCTCTTGTCTGCAGCTTGTGACTGTCATCCCGAGGGCTCCCTTTCGCTCCAGTGTAAAGACGATGGTCGCTGTGAGTGCAGAGAAGGCTTTGTGGGAAATCGCTGTGACCAGTGCGAAGAGAACTATTTCTACAATCGGTCTTGGCCTGGCTGCCAGGAATGTCCAGCTTGTTATCGGCTGGTAAAGGATAAGGTAACTATCAGTGGTTCATTCATTCATTCAGCTACCACTTGAAAAGAAACTTACTATACACCAAGCTCCAGCGAAGAAGTGGGCACCAAGTTCAGCATGACCATTCTTTTCAAAGACTTAGGTAACAGATGGGAAGCACGTAACAAAAAGTAAGTAAACAAAGGAAATCTTGAGATTCATGGCAGAAAGAATTTAAAGAGAATAACTGTGGAGGCTTAATCTATAGAAGGCCTCTTCTGGAAGCTCCTATATAGAGATCTTAAGGATAAGGGGGAGAGAACCAGGTGAGAATAATGGTAAATGTTTCCTGCAGAAGGAATGTAGTGTGCAGAGGCCTGGAAGCTGGAAAGTGGGTGGAGCTGCTCCATGAAGGGAGTATGGTAGGGAGAGGTTATAGCTCCATGCAGAACATCATGAAGAGTGGAAATCTACTAAAACCCAATGCGAATGGACTGAAGAAGCTCTTAGAAAGTGGGGAATCCAGTTTGTATTTTAAGAGGTATACTCTGCTAACTGAAGAATGCTGGTTAGGAGCGGGGCATCACCAAGGGGAAGCCCCAGCTGGATTGGATAATGCATACGTTGATGGCAGGTTAGGGAAAGAGGAAGTTCGAGGAAGGGCCTTGGGTTTTTTTCAATGAAGGTAGCTAAAGATGCTATTTACTGGGATGCCACAGAGAGAACAGCTTTTAGATCTGTTTGGTATACATGCGAAAGAGCTGCATGGAAAAAAATCAAGATCTTCTAATACTCAAGGGAATGTTCTGAATTGAATTGTCAGCACAGTGTAAAAGTAAAGCCTCCTCTTTCTTCCTCCTTTTTCTTTCCTCCTCCTCCTCTTCCTCCTTCTTTCTTCCCATATTTCCATTAAAAACAAACAAAAAATACCTCTTCTTTTGAAGCCAAAGAAGCAAAGTCTGACTATGCAAGTTGTCTGTTACAAGTACCTGGAGTTTTAAAGAGTTGTCTCTTTACCTTCTCTTCCTCTTTGGTGTCTAGGTTGCTGACCACCGAGTGAAACTCCAGGAACTTGAGAGTCTCATAGCAAACCTGGGAACTGGGGATGAGATGGTGACTGATCAAGCCTTTGAGGACAGACTAAAGGAAGCAGAAAGAGAGGTCATGGACCTCCTTCGAGAGGCTCAGGATGTCAAAGGTACACGGGATCAGACTGTGGGTAACCTTTTTGTGGGTTCTTATTCACAGTTGATTGATTGGCTATTAGAAAATTCCTCAGTTTTAAAATTTTTTGCAAGATACGAATTATTTTAGCTTTAAGCAATATTTCAGACCCGGCCTATGCACTTACTGTTTTAAGATATAAGAAGCAGAAGGTAGTTTGGGTTTCATCATAGGACAGACCTTGTGATTTTTAAATTTAAAGTATTTTACAAGCCTCTTCTTGGTGTCTTAAAGTATAAGTTAAACAAACTAAAGGCATTTATGATTTAGAATGTTCATTCCCTAGGCTGGGAAAGTGGCTCAGTGGTAGAGCGCTTGCCTTGCATGCCTGAGACCCTGGGTTCCATTCCTCAGCACCATATAAGCAAAAAGAAAAAAGCCGGAAGTGGTGCTGTGGCTCAAGTGGTAGAGCGCTAGCCTTGAGCTGAAGAGCTGAGGGACAGCGCTCAGGCCCAGGGTTTAGGCCCCACGACCGGACCCAAAAAAAATAAAAATAAAAAAGAATATTCATTCCCTTTCAACAACTTTTGCTTTGTGGTGCTGGGATTTTGAAACAGCTGGGATTTTATGCTTGCTTGGCAGGCATTGGTACCATTTGAGACGCTTTTTGCTTTAGTTATTTTTGGAGCGGTTTTTAAATTTTTGCATGAGACCATCCCCAGACCACAATCCTTACCTATAGCTAGCCTCCTGCTTTGTTGGCATGTGCCACAGTACCTGGCTTATTGTTGAGATGAAGTCTTGCTAACTTTTTAATAGGGCTGGCTAGCTGGATTACGGTCTTGAGCCTCTTGTGCCAACAACTTTTAACACATATTTTTGAGTACAAAGTTTTATAATTTTCCATCATTTTACTGAAAAAGAATTCATTTTATGGACTGCTTTATTTTCTTAGAAGGTACTCTTCTAAGGAAAAATTATGGTCTTCAAGCATTAAAAAGCACAGCTACTACTCAATCAGCAGCACATGGCATTTGCAAAAATAAACAAGAATTTCGTGCCTGTTTAGGAAATTTGGTGGCTGATCAGCAAACAAATGTGTTACATTGTAGAGTTTGGGTTTTCTTTTTTGTTTTGGTTTTTTTGGTTTTGGTTGTTGTTGGTTTTGTTTGCCTGTTTTATGTGGTACTGTGGTTTAGACTCAGAAGGTGCTCTACTACTTGGTCTACACTAAAACAAAAAGTGTATGTTTTATATATTAAATCTTTTTAATGTCCTTTAGAGCCAACAGCATTCTATTACGTGTTGCCTGACGAGACTAATGATAAACAAAGATGGACTTAAGATTTACAAAACTGTTGTTAAAGCATTTTTCTGGGTATGGCAGTGTATATCTGTAATCCTGGCACACAGCAGGCTGAGATTGAGGCATGATTGTGAGTTTGAGTCCAATCTTACTACTCTCTCCAGAGAGGCTGGATGGTGTGTTCATACTTTTAACTCTAGCTAAGTAAGAGGTAGAGATTGAAAAGATTGTGCTTTGCAAGGTCTCATCTCAACCAATAAAAAATGGGCATAGTGTTACATACTTGTTATCCTTGCTGTGTGGAAAACATAAATATGGTTATGTTCCAGGCCATTCTGAGCATAAATGTGAGACTTTGTTTAACCCCCTCCCTCCCCAAAATAACAACAACAAAGACTAGGAGCACTTGCCTAGCAAGCAGAAGGTCCTGAGTTCAAATGTAGTACTGCATAGGGAGGAAAAAAAAAAGCAAGCTTAATTGACTTTCCAAGAAACTTAGTTTTTTAAACTTTGAAACTAAACAGAATTTTCTCCTGAACAATTTCCTTGTATTTTAGATCATTTTCAGATTTTTTTTTCACTTCTTACTCTGAATTGAGCTTTTTTCTAAACTAGGGCAGGTACTTTTCAACACTTACCAAGTACCAGTCAGAAGCCAGTTACACCAGGGCGCTGGTGGATCACGCCTGTAATCCTAGCTACTCATGAGTCTGAGATCTGAGGGTAGGAAAGTCTATGAGACTCTTACCTTCAATTAGCTAACAGAAAACTGGAAGTGGCGCTGTGGCTCAAGTGGTAGAACACCAGCCTTGAGCAAAAGAGCTCAGGGACAGCCGCTAGGCCTTGAGTTCAAGCCCCACAACCAACCCATACCCCTCCCCCCAAATGAAAAGCCAGTTACTGTGGTCAACATCAGTATTGAGAAATCAAGATACTGCTTCTGCTAGAAGGGGGAGCTACCATGGTGGTTACCAGTGAGGCCACCTGGCTGTAGGACTTTCTGTCACTGGTGTGTACATGTCCACAGATGCTTGTAGTAAATGCACATTAAAACCAGTGTGTTTGCGACACCAGAGGTCAACTTCACTCTTGAGTTTACAAATCTGTGTGCATTTGGCATTACACAGAGAAGCTACCTGTCAGGGTGGAGATCAACAAAAACTTAATAGGTTACTATTTCTTCTTATACATATCTTTGGATAGAGAGAATTTCAATTTTGTATGATTTCTGAAGGGATTGGTTATTTCTGGCTTTGCTCAGTTTGATTTAAAAAAATATTAGAGTCAAAATTTGTTCCATAGGATAAATTTTTAGAAACTGAAAAGATTCATAGTTTATTTTAATGTTGGATGCTCATGATGTTTGTGTTGGTTTGAGTTATTGGTGTTACATTTCAGCCCTAAATAGAGTAAGAAAATTTAAACTTTATTTTTTTGATTGGTCATGGGGCCTGAACTCATCATGGGGCCTGAACTCAGGGCCTGCTTAAGCATGTCTCTGAGCTTTTTGCTCAGGGCTAGTGCTCTACCACAGCTCTACTAACAGTTTTATCTTTTTTTTTTTTCTGTCCTGGAGCTTGAACTCAGGGCCCAGTTGTCCTTAAGCCTCTTTGTGCTCAAGGCTATTGCTCTACTACTTGAGCCATAGCCCAACTTCTGGCTTATTTTGGAGACAAGAGTCTCACATACATTTTTACCTGGGCTGGCTTTGAACCATGATCTTAATATCTCAGCCTCCTGAGTAGCTAGGATTCCAGGTGTGAACCACCAGCGCCCAGCTTCTACTAACAGTTTTTAGGTGGTTTACTGGAGATTTAAGTTTCACGTACTTTCCTGCCTGGGCTGGCTTTGAAGCATTGATCCTCAGATCTCAGTCTCCTGAATAGCTAGGATTAAGGCATGAGCCACCAGTACCTGGCTTAAACCTTTCATTTTTATAGAAATAATAATGAGGTTTTTTTTTTAGTATCTTTTTTATCTAGCACCAGCTGTTGACACACATTTTTACATTAATAGACTATATTGAAAAACAGATTCACATGTGTCTTGCTGAATACCCTGAAGAATGCATTAAAGGATTGTATTCCTGGGTGCCAACCAGGCCAGCCAAATACTGGGTCTGGCACACAGCTCTGGTCAGCACATGGGGATTAGGTCTGGAAAGGAAGGCTGGCCAGTGTTGGCACCTGCCTAACTCCAAGTGTTCTGAAGATGCCTCGCTGTGTATAACTTCCTCAGCTACAGTTGCTCCCTGTTTTCCTGTGCCTAAGAAAATGAGTTTGCTAAGAGTCGCCTGTTGAGTAGGAAGCACAGTGAGCTGCTCATTCCCATAGAAGCTGCCACATGGGCTGAGGTTAGGACCACCCCTCCGCATTCACTTGTAGTGTAGTGTAAACTTGTGTGTATTTTGAAGATTGGGGAGGAGGGTCTTGTTTGTAGACATTTGGAATTGGAAGGCATTTGAAGGAAACCTATCAGGTGTTCATTCTCTTTTCAGATACTGTTGTTTCTCTGGAGAACTGGACAGATCAGTGGCTAGTGCTTTCCTGAAGGTCTGAAACAAATGGGCTTCTCTAATGCCATTAGCTGCTTCTGTTTCCTACATCTAAATTGTTTTCTTTGATCCAATTGTGTGTGTGTGTGTGTGTGTGCACACACGCATGCGTGCGTGCGCGTGTGCACGGCACCTGTGCTCCTACTGGGGCTTGAACTTGGCCTGGGTGTGTCCCTTAGATTTTTTTTTTGCTCAAGGACGGCACTCTTTTTGGATGTCTTCTCCGTGGTAGGACTGCTGGTTATAGAGTAGCTCTACTTGTTGTATCTTAAGGAGCCTCTATCTTGTTTTCATGACAGTGTTAATTTAAATTTATACCCCCAGCATGCAAAGTTCTCCTTTGCTCTGCATCTCCCCCAACACAAATAGTTTGTGTGTATTTCTCCCATTGTGTAGGTGGTCTCTATACTCTGTTGTCTTATTTGCTGTGCAGATGCCTTTTAGTTTGACTAATTCACACTGTGGTCTGTGTTTGCTCCCATTTCCTGTGCTTCTTTGTCTTAACAGAAAAAGAAAACACAACCTGCTCTACAGCATTTCTCTTGTTTTCTTCCAGTGGTTTTATTGCTTTAGGTCTTCCCTTTAAGTCTTTACCACAGTTGAGTTGATAACTGGTTTTAGTTTTAGTTTTTCTTCGTCTATGTGTGATTATCCAATTTTTCCAGCACTAATTATTGAAGAGACTGTTCTTTTTGAAGTGAATGTACTTTGTAACTTTGTTGAAATCAATTGGCTGTAGGTGTGTGGGTTTACTTTTAGGTTTTCTATTCTGTTCCAAGAACTGGCCATTTTTGAATAGATTTTCCATATATAAATACAACTTTATGATGTGAAAATTTAATACTGACAGGTTTGATATTTGTTTGGGCTTATATTTATCTCTTGATTTACTAAGGCCCAAGTTGATTTACTAGGCCTAAGTTGAATAGGCATAATTAACAAGAAGCAGTTTGACGAACTTGTTTAGAAACAGATCAGTTTGAAAGAAATGACATAAATATGCTAGGGCTGGGGGAGGGAGGGATCAGGAAGAGTGAAATTAGCTTAAAATGAAAATGAGTCAAGCTTGCCATACTTCAACAGTGTCATTTTTTCTAAGTTGTTATATATGTTTAGCTCTTAGTGCAGGCAGCATTTTTTAGCATTCTGCATTCGAGATTTAAAACTAGCCTGTGCTGTAATAAGATAATCAGTCTTTCTTTCATCACCAAACATTCCTAGGTTGTCTTAGTTTGTCTGGTTGTCAGTCTGATTGTAGATACTGGGAGGAGTGGGAAGGAGGGTCTGCTGGTCTGTCAGCCAAGCATGCAGTTAGAGAACCATGTGAGGAATGTCATTTTAGGGAAAATTGTCCAGCACTTTATTGGGAAGAGTAAAGAAACCTAGTGCCTCAGTTTCATGCGAGACATTCCGACTTCCTCATAATCTCTTGGCTGCTTTTTTACCATACCATTTCAGATGTAGACCAGAATTTGATGGATCGCCTTCAGAGAGTGAATAACACTCTGTACAGCCAGATTAGCCGATTACAAAATATTAGGAATATCATTGAAGAGACCGGGAACTTGGCTGAGCAAGCACGGACCCGAGTACAGAACACAGAGCAGTTGATTGAAATTGCCTCCAGAGAACTGGAGAAAGCAAAAGTTGCAGTTGCCAATGTGGTGAGTGCTTGGGAGAAAGGGTTGGGAGGGTTCTTTGATCATTTATAGCAAGTCTGCTTCTTCAGCCCCATTCCCTCCTTTGTTGGAGCCATGTTGCTCATAGGGACTGGATGAAACCAACTGATACCTACTTACTTCTCTCTCTCTCTCTCTCTCTCTCTCTCGTTCTCTGTTCTTGTTATAAAGGCACTGAACAACTTATTGTGTCATTCTCCTTTTTGAAAATTGATATTGATAGTAAAGATCTCTGAACATAAGAAAAAGCTTTTGTTTTGCTCTCTAACATATAAAACAAAATCAGTTTTGGTACTTGCTTGGTGAAATCGAAGCAGTCTTTTTGAGAGTACATGCTTTATTTCCTCTTCAGTCAATCACTCAACCGGAGTCTACAGGGGACCCAAACAATATGACTCTCCTGGCAGAAGAGGCCCGAAAGCTCGCAGAACGGTAACCTACCTGCAACCCACATGCAGTGATTAGGGCTTAGCTTTCTTGAGGGCATCCCCTCCCATGCTTCCCATCACCAGACATGCTCAGCTCACTGAGGACTTGTCAGCTATGTGCACTGGTTCCCTTTCACTTGGAAATTAAGATACTCACTTTAAACCTGAAAATATGACTGTTGAAGCACGTTCCACAGAAAACTGCAACATTCGCCGGGCGCTGGTGGCTCACGCCTGTAATCTTAGCTACTCAGGAGGCTGAGATCTGAGGATCACGGTTCAAAGCCAGCCTGGGCAGGAAAGTCCGTGAGACTCTTATCTCCAATAAACCACCAGAAAACCGGAAGTGGCGCTGTGGCTCAAGCAGTAGAGTGCTAGCCTTGAGCTGAAGAGCACAGGGACAGCGCCCACGCCCAGAGTTCAAGCCCCACGACGGACAAAAAAAAAAAAAAAACTGCAACATTTATCTTTAGATTTTCAACTTCAAAGCCTTAAAGTTAATAGATTTCTAAGAAGCTCAGTAGAATTTATTAGGTTTTAAATTCTTTCTTTTTTAACAAAACTGTTTAATTTTCAAATCCCAATAGAAAACATTTACTGACCATGATACATTTGAAAATAAACAAATCCAACCATTTTCATTTCTAGTTTGTTACCAACACTTTAAGTATAAAATAATTTCTTTTTTTTTTTTTTTGGTTCCGGTGCTGGTACCAACACACACACACACACACACACACACACACACACACACACACACACACACACACACACACACACACACACACACAAGAAAATAAAGTTTTAAAATTAAATTCCTAAGCCAGGGACTGGTGGCTCATGCCTGTAATCCTAGCTACTCAGGAGACTGAGATCTGAGGATCACAGATCCAGCCCAAGTGGGAAAGTCTGTGGGACTCTTATTTCCAATTAACCACCAGAAAACTGGAAGTGGTGCTGTGACTCAAAGTGTTAGAGCACTAGCTTTGAGCTGAAGAGCTCAGGGACAGCGCCCAGGCCCAGACTTCATGCCACATGACCAACAAAAACAAAACAAATTAAATTCCTAGAAAAAAAAATCTCTTCTTCTTACCAAACGAGGGAGGTATAGATTTGTAAAAGTATCTTCTAATTCTTAACCCCAAATAATAATAGAGATCATGTTTTATACAGACATAAAGATTTCATCTTCTTGATTAAAAATATGCACTTTGATCCAATTTGGAATAAACAAGTAGAGAATGCTTAGTGGAAAAGAAAAAAGCCTGGAGATCAACATAAACAGGAGAGGATTGACTGTCTTGTGGGAGGCGCTGAGTTCAGTCTCCACAACTGCTGCAGAGAAAGTCGTTTTTAAAAAACAAACAAGAAAAACCAGACATTACCGTATAAATTTTATATCACAGATTTTTCTTGGAATAAAACTCTTTCTCAGTTTATGGAATGGTAATTGTAAACTGACATGACTTATGAAAGTTCAAATGAATGAGGTTTTTCAATATAGGTCTGCCTGCATTAGTATATGTATCCATAACAAAATAAGCATTGCCTTGGGGCTGGGAAGGTGGCTCAGTGGTAGAGCGCTTGCCTTGCATGCTCAAGACCCTGGGTTCGATTCCTCAGCACCACATAAGCAAACAGAAAAAAGCCGGAAGTGGCGCTGTGGCTCAAGTGGTAGAGCGCTAGCCTTGAGCTGAAGAGCTGAGGGACAGTGCCCAGGCCCAGAGTTCAGGCCCCACGACCGGACCCAAAAAAAAAAAAAAATAAGCATTGCCTAGACTTCACTTCTTTCCCTATCAAATGGTCTGTTTCGTAATTTTTTTTCTCTTATGTGCATAGCCACAAACAAGAGGCGGATGACATTGTACGGGTGGCAAAGACAGCGAATGATACATCAACCGAAGCATATAACCTTCTTTTGAGGACACTGGCGGGGGAAAACCAAACAGCATTTGAGATTGAAGAGCTCAATAGGAAGTGAGTATAATTAAGAGCTTCTCACAGCCCTGCCCATGGTTCTTGTAAGTAGCACCAGTTCCATGAAGAACTGAATGCTATGGTTCACACAGTAAGATATTTTTGCTGATCATGCTTTCAAATTGACTGAGTAAATAGATTAGGGGATGTGGAGTCCAGAGGGCTTTGTTCGCTTCAGTGACTACAACTAAAGAGAGTAACCTTGATACTCAGGAATCGGCACCAATGACACAAGAAGAGAAAAAACCAATACTAGAAAGAAGAGAAAATATGCTTGAGCTGTAAATCTTTAAAAGTGTTCTGAAATAAGGAAGTACAGATTTGAAGTGTTTGGGAAAGAAATTGTTTTGCGTTTTGGATTTATTCATAGTTTAAAATAGTTGCATATGTATAAGACCCACGTCTAAACTTCAGTTTCTTTATGTTCATAGATACATAGACTGAAATTTTATAGTAGTTTCTGTGTACCTATATTTTGACTGTGATGTCAGGTATGGAATTTTTGACTTGTGGCTCAAAATGTTTCAGGTTTTGGAGCCAAATGTGGTGATGCATATCTGTAATTCAAGCACTAGGGAGTCTGAGATAGGAGGATTGTAAATTTAAGGGGCCAGCCAGGACTCCATAGTAGGTTCCAGGCCAACCAGGCTACCTAGTAAGTCTTTGCACAAAAATAATACTACTAATGAGTTTTAGGGGCCTTTCACATTTGGAATTTTTGTAGGCACAGCAACTTTAGTATATATGGTAATCTCAATATAAATGATGAGATAGAATGTAAATTTTCTGTAGCATTTTGTGTAAAGTTTTGGGAATGTAACTACAGTGGGGGGATATAAACTAGATTGAATCTGGTTAGTGTGAAGCGCTAAAAAAAAACTATGTTTTCCTTGAACCCACAACCATTGTTCCTTAGGTATGAACAAGTAAAGAACATTTCACAGGATCTGGAGAAGCAGGCTGCCCAAGTCCATGCAGAAGCCAAGCGGGCGGGTGACAGGGCTGTGGAAATCTATGCCAGTGTGGCCCAGCTGAGCCCTGTGGACTCTGTGGCACTGGAGGTACGTGTGCACAGACTCTGATGGTCACTGCTGTCACCATGTATATCCCCTGCCCCCTCTGGCCACCCTGACTGCCTGTATCTCCCCAACTGACTCACTAGTAAAGCTTAGTTCTGTGTTAACTGTGCATATTGAGGTGTAAAGGATCCTATGATTATAACATTAAGTAGCAAAGACTCCTTTAGTGGTAGGAATATTCACTCCCATATCTTTCAAATAAATCCAAGCTGTGATCTTTGAATTGCTTAAGGCACAATAAGCCTAGACCTTTGCTTACAAGCTCTGTGTGGTAGAGACCTAAGGAACAAAAGGAGAGAGGAATTTAAATGGAAGAACTAAAATATTTGGAGGTTGGAAATATTTCTGACTATAATTATGGTCTCTCACATTCTGTATAAGTGTATTTTTCCCATTAAACAAGTACTAAGTGTTCCTCTCTATAGGTGAAATATTGATTTGCCATCATAAAGTCTTGAGTATGTTCAGACACGTACATACTGTCTGATTCCATGGATATGAATGACAATAAACGAGATTGGTCTATGATGGTAACGTTGATGTGGAGGCTTCTTCTGGTCTAGACTCACTGGAGGTGGCCCCAGGGGCACTTCTTGGGCTGGTGGTGGAAATATTCTACATCTCAAGTGAGATTGGGCTAGTAAGTGCTTTTCATAAATTTATCTCATTAACAATGAGATGATCTTATTTGTTTTTCCCAGAATGAAGCAAATAAAATAAAGAAAGAGGCAGAGGATCTGGACCGTCTGATTGACCAGAAGTTAAAGGATTATGAAGACCTGAGAGAAGACATGAGAGGGAAGGAAGCTGAAGTGCAGGATCTTCTAGAGAAAGGGAAAGTTGAACAGCAGGTTGGTTCCATTGCTGGATGCTTCGTTTCTTGAGGCAACATTATTAAGCTGTGAGCTGGGAGAGTACGATAATCATGGTTCTAGAGGTGGCAAACCACTTTGTTGAGAGGAAGGCCTTCCTCATGATGCTGTGCCCAGCCAGACTGTGTTCTTTGAAGTCCTAGGACATAGTTTTAAGGCTGTCGGTCCATCAGGAGAGGGAAGGGTTGGCTTTGGACAGTTTATCTTTGACCTGCCATATGTTTGCAGACTGCCGATCAACTCCTAGCCCGAGCTGATGCAGCCAAGGCTCTGGCAGAGGAAGCTGCTAAAAAGGGGCAGAATACTTTACAAGAAGCTCGTGACATCCTCAGCAACCTGAAAGGTAAGGGGGCATCAAACCGCAGCAGCCGCTGTGCGCTTCCTTCACCCAGGCAGTTTTCTTTCCTTTTTTTTCTTTTTCATTCTACTCTCTGAACATAATAATTTAATAACTCCCATATACCTGTTACATACAATAATTACCATGATTTTTTAGCCCAACTTAGTTCATTCTTCAAAAAGAAAGGAGGGAATACTTTCTGACATGATACTAACTCATGGAACGCACATCTGCATTTTTAGCTGACTTACGTCAGTTAATGGAAATTGTTATCTTTGATTTTCCTTTGCCCAATGACATCTGATTATTTCTTTAACGTCTTCACCCAACAAAGAAAAATTATGTGCCAGTTTGCCAAGCAGTTCTGGATTTACTTGTGATAAAAAATGATAGGTTTTATGACTAAGAAGAATTTATGGGATAAGTTGACAGTATGAGCTTTGTTTCCAGCAGGTCTGGGTTGTAATTCCTCTGCAAATTAACCTCTTTAGTCGGTGGATTTCCTTATTTATAAAATTAGGACTGCAGGCTGGGCACTGGTGGCTCACACCTGTAATCCTAGCTACTTAGGAGGCTGAGATCTGAGGATCACAACTCAATTCAAAGCCAACTCTGGCACAAAAGTCAGTGAAACTTATCTCCAGTTAATCACACACACACACACACAAAACTGGAAATGGAGCTGTGGCTCAAGTGGTAAGAGTGCTAGCTTTGAGCTAAAAAAACTCAGGAACAGTGCCCTAGGCCCTGAGTTCATATCCCAATATCAGCATTAAAAAAAAATTACGGTGGGGGGGAGCAGAGAGGTGGGGAGGATGGGAAGGGGAAACAAAGGAGGAGGCTACAATGCTTGATAAGAAATGTAATCATTATCTTGCCCATGTAATTGTAACCCCTCTGTACAGTATTTTCACAATTTAAAAACATTACCTACATCACAAAGATGTTAAGCTCTTAACTCAGTATTTGACACCCAATAAACACTAAAAGACTGACTCTCAGTACTGATTGAAGTAATAATGCTATAATAAGTGCTGTATGTTGAAATACATTTTCAAGGAAGAATTCTTTTTCCAGAATGTGTGTCCACGCGCTCTTCTTGGGAAATGTGTGCAGAGACATGTGTGTCCTTTGCTCTTCAAAGATTTTTTTTTCATCCCCCGTCCTTGACTTTTATTACTCATAAAACAAAATCTAGTTGCAGTCCTGTGAAAGCTTTTCCTTCTGCTTGTCGGGAGTTGAGTTCACATGCATTCCTCGCACTCCCTCCAGATTTTGATAGACGTGTGAATGATAACAAGACAGCTGCAGAGGAGGCCCTGAAGAGGATTCCCGCCATCAACCAGACCATAGCTGAAGCCAACGAGAAGACGAGGGATGTACAGCTGGCTCTGGGCAATGCCAAGGCAGATGCCACGGAGGCCAAAACCAAAGCCCATGAGGCAGAGAGGATCGCCAGTGCCGTGCAGAGGGTGTGTGCTTTGGTTTTTCTCAAACCATCCCTCCTTTTATCCCCTCCCCAGTCTTGCCAGAATCTTCACAGGGGCCCCTTCTCACACTCTTGCCTAGCCTTTCCAGAAGTTTGCAGGGCTTCAGGCCCTTGCTGCGTTTCCTTAGCTCTCGTAAAAATGTATTAAGCCATCCTTATCTTTTTTTTAAACTAGGCACTAGCATAGGTAAGCACTTTTTGTTTGAAGAAGGGGACTCAGTAAATGAGCTCCCTGAAGTTTCTACCATGTCTCAGTGTGGGGTCTGAGTTCTCAGGAGGCAGGTGGCATTTGGGTGTTTTAGGGTCTTTTCCCACAAACTCCACACACCTGTAAATAAACATATTCTTTGGACTCGCACAGGTGACATTTTTTTTTCATCCATGTGTAGAGTGCTGTGTCTACACAACTTTCACCCCCTCGGAACATCTCCTTAGCTCCTCATCTGCCCTCTGCCCTTCTTCACTCACCTTGAAGAGTAGTTTATTCCACCATGCTCTTGGAGCAGCTTCTAAAATTAAATGCTTGAGAATCACAGAAATTTTTAGCTTCTTTAGAAGTGTTGGCTCTTGGATTGTGCTTTATAAAACACTTGCATTTCAGGATTTGTGATCTGTTTTGTACATTATGATGAACTTCTGAGAATAACCAGGCAAGCTTTGGATTTAAAGCTTAGCCAGGTGGAAGAGCCTAATCAGTATGATGTGTTAGAACATGTATGTAATTAAAGTGTTTATCATTTGCCATCTGCGTGACTTCAACTAAATATGGAAATAGTAGAAAGTTTCAAAGATTAATGAGAATACAAAATGAGAATGCTTTATAAAATATAAAATGCTGAATGAATGTGTAGCGTTGTGGTAGAACACTTGCCTAGAGTGGGTGTACTTAGCCATGGTTCATGAGGCCCTGGGTTTGATCCCCAGCACTGACATTAACCAGTCAGTCAACTAAATAAAATGCTATTAAGTAGCAATTTTGTAAGTGCTCTATTTTGTAATGCCCCAAAATTGATTAAATGTGAGGAGATTGTGTGTGTGTGTGTGTGTGTGTGTGTGTGTAAAGCATTGTACTATTCTTTCTGGATTATGTATTTGAGCCATCTTACAAATTACAAAAGACATAGGAGCATTTTAATTAACAGATGCTTATTTTGTGCCTAGAATGCTACCAGTACCAAAGCAGAAGCAGAAAGAACTTTTACAGAAGTTACAGGTCTGGATAACGAGGTGAACAGCATGTTGAGACAGCTCCAGGAAGCAGAGAACGAGCTGAAGAGGAAACAGGATGATGCTGACCAGGACATGATGATGGCGGGCATGGTAAGACATGGGTAGATGATGAAGGCCAGTTCACTCGCCATTCTGGCTTCTTGAGTCTTTTTCAGATGAGCTTCACTTTCTCATTGCAATTTCTGGTTAACAATTGGGTTAGTAGCTTACATAGAAGGCAAAGAATCTTGCTCTTCTGCCAGGTATTTCTCTTGTACAATTGTCCTTTTTGAAGTACTTTCAGTTAAAAATCAAAACATAGGTCTTACACATTGGAAGCTTTTAGGACATTTAAATATAATGTATTTGTACTTTAAGCAGATAATTCATTAATAATATAAAATTAAAGAAAGAATAAAAGGGAATGCAGTGAAAAGCTCATCTTCTTTCTAGTTCTCCTAGCATCTTGCTCCCTAAGGGCAAAGACCACTTTCTGATACATATAGGAAGAGTTTGAAGATAACGTTTGCTATCATCCCAGCAAACTACTAATTTTCACCTGAAATGACACTATACATCACACTCATAAATAAACTCCTTGGATCACCACAGGTGATAGTTTTTTCAGTGTTATGGAGAGTGCTGTTTCAACACAACTTTCAGACACAAAAGTTGACTTGGAAGAGTATGGTGCAAAGAACTAGGATCCATCTTTCTGTTCTGTGCTCTATTTTGCTTTGGAAAGAACTTAATGGAATTGTAACAGGAATTTTCCTTTCTGGTTAGTGTAGCAGTTATAGAAAGATGCATATGCACTTGTTTTTTTTACATACTTTCAGTGTAAGGAAGAGAACCTTTATTGCTCCTAAAAAATGGGGTCCCCACCATTGGTCATCTTTTTCCCTGGGACAGAAAGGAAGAAAACCAGGCTGGGGGAAATGATACCAGGAAGCATTCCTATGAAAACCCTTGATTTTTTTTCTTACTCTTTTTTGATTCTTGTTTGGATTGACCTAAGTTTCTGTGAGATGGTGTGGCTCAAGTGGAAATTCCCACAAAGTAAAAATAGATACTTGTCATCTGTGCAGAGTGTGTGGATTTCGCTCTCCCTGGCCTGCCTCTCTCTTTTGGAGGGGGCAGTGGAGAGCAGGCCTTGAACTTGGGGCCCAGATGTGCTGATCCAGAGCTTTTGTGCTCAAGGCTAGCACTCTACTGTTTGAGCCACAGCTTCACTTCCAGATTTTGAGTAGTTAATTGGAGATAAGAGCCTCATGGACTTTTCTGCCATGTCTGGCTTTGAACCTCAATCCTGAGATCTCAGCCTTCTGAGTAGCTAGGATTACAGGTGTGAGCCACCCACACCCAGCTGATTTAATTTTTTAATAATATTGTAGAAACATCACATTTAAAGCCTAAAGAAAGAAAGTATACCTTCTTTATGAGCAAAAATAAAATAGGATATATATTTAGTTCTGAGATAAGAAAGAAGATCCATCTTCTGTTTTGATAACAAACAATAACTTAAAGTATATAAGCCACTTTATATATACTATTCCTTCTGTAGTTATATCAGTTCTGAAAGACCAGTGTTCAGCCAGTACTGTTTGAGTCTGTAACATGTGTTGTAACCCCAAGCATAAAGGCTATGGTTTCTCCTGAAAGAGGAGGCTGGAATCACAGGTTCGATCCAGCGGGCTTGCTCCAGTGGCTGTAGTGAAGTTTTGTGTCCCTACACTCTTGTGCAGACTCAGTGAGAACAGCTGTGATTTGAACAAAGACTAATCATTTATTTGTGGCAAGAGTTTTGTGGGGGGGGGGTTGCCTTACTTTTTGTTTTTAAATTTTTCACATTGTTTTGATCCCCAAACGTTTGCCTTGTCCCAACCCCAAAGCTAGGAAAAATAATTATGTGGTAAGGAGCTCAAAGCCTCAAAGCTCATTTATATCTTGCTTAGGTTTACTTGTAAGAGCATCTGTTTTCTGATATTTAGACACTTCCTCTTCCCCTGCTGTTTCCTGTGACTCATGCTAAGTGTATTTGTTCAGGTTTGTGGAATTTTCCCAAATATATTTACCTTTAGTTGACTTTAAAAATGTCAGTTGTATTGCCCCAGTAAATGAGAGAGAGAGAGAGAGAGAGAGAGAGTGTGTGTGTGTGTGTGTTTGGTTCTGGCTGGGTGATTGCAAGTTGGAGAAAATTTACAGAAAAGCTTTACTTGCTTAGGAAATTTCTCTAAAAATAGGACATGAGTAATAACTCGCTAGAAGTATCCATGTTTTTGTTCTAAAAAATATTTTCTGCACTTCCCATTAAAATAAATGAGTTGTTTCTAGTTGGTGGGCTTTATCATGAGTGTACCTCATGGCCGCTTGACTGGGAAAGTGAGAAATGGGAGTCGTGATTTCCTGACCGCACACATGATGAGCTGAGTCCTGACTGTTCATGTGGGGCCACTCCATGAATAGAACCAACATCATCCTCAGCTTAGAGCCATAGCCCCCAAACCTGCTCAGCACAACTAGAGCTTGTGATGTCGTCAGTTAGAAATGGGGAAAATCTAATCTCAAAATTAGATGAGTTGGCTCATTGCGGGGGAAAATGTTTTTAAGAGATGAAAACATATCATCGAACTGTTCTATCAGTTAATCCTTTTTCTTCTGCAGGCTTCACAGGCTGCTCAGGAAGCTGAGATCAATGCCAGAAAGGCCAAAAACTCTGTCAACAGCCTCCTCAGCATGATTAACGACCTCCTGGAGCAGCTAGGTAAGGAGTTACAGTGTCCTCTTAGCCTCTGAATCCCTTGGTATTCTTGAGATCTGATAGGGTTGATTCAGCCAAATCACATTAATACATGAGTCTCCCTAAAGCTGTTCATTAAATTATTGGTATTTTAGCTCTTTTTTTTTTTTTTTTGGCCAGTCCTGGGGCTTGAACGCAAGGCCTGGGCCCTGTCCCTGAGCTTCTTTTGCTCAAGTCTACTAGCACTTTACCACTTTGAGCCACAGCACCACTTGTGGCTTTTTCTGTTTATGTGGTGCTACTTCCTGCATGCTAGGCAAGCACTCTAGCACTAGGCCACATTCCCAGCCCTCTTGCTTTTTCTTTTGTCAGTGGTGGGGCTTGAACTTTGGGCTTGGGTGCTGTCCCTGCGTTCTTCAGCTCAAGGCAAGCACTCTACCGTGTGAGCATCAGCCCCACTTCTGATATTTCTTCCCAGGCTTGCTTTGAACTGTGATCCTTAGATCTCAGCCTCCTGAGTAGCTAGGATTACCGGCGTGAGCCACCACCACCCGGCTCCCTCTTGCTTATTTTTAGTGCTGTATAAAACATGTTTGTGGCTTGCCTTGGTAGAATCTTTATAATCAACTTGTAGTATTGAAATGTTCGTCACCTTTAGAGTACAAACTAAGTCACTGACTTTAAATGGCATGATATGGACAAGTTCTTAACTTTGAATTGCTTCTACCTGAAACACAACCACCTTCAGCCACCTTTGTGTCATGGCAGCCTCTGAATTTCGTTGCTGAGAAGGCAAATGAGGAACTTGTTGAGAACTTGTGGTGTTACGAGTTCCCACTGAACTGTCTGTCTGGTGTACTTTCTGACTCTACAGGGCAGCTGGAAACAGTGGACCTCAACAAGCTAAATGAGATTGAAGGCACTCTGAACAAAGCCAAAGATGAAATGAAGGTCAGTGATATTAATAGAAAAGTGTCTGACCTGGAGAACGAAGCCAGGAAGCAGGAGGCTGCCATCCTGGACTATAACCGAGACATTGAAGAGATCCTGAAGGACATTCGCAATCTGGAAGACATCAGGAACACCTTACCAACCGGCTGCTTCAACACCCCGTCCATCGAGAAGCCCTAGCGATGGGAATGCTCAAAGACAGCTTCCCCAGACAGGGGGGCGTTAGTGAGGCCACAGAGTGCCTTGACACAAAGATTATGTTTTTCAGCCCCCCCCCCCACTTCTCCGCTGCTCTCCATCACTGTCCTTTTGAACCGAGAAAAGTCACAGAGTTTAAAGAGAAGCAAACTAAACATCCCGAACCAGGAACCAGGGTTTTATCTCATAGAGTCTCTCTTCTACTCACGTTGCCACTACCTTCCCCACACTTTCCCTTCTCGCTTGCCCCAGGACATGGCATCCTTGAGTGGCATAAACACATCATGCAAACCCTTCCATGCCAGGACACTGCTGTCATTTCACACAACAGCAGAACCCCTCGTGTCAGCAGGCTCACATCAACACCAGCAGAAACGTCGCACTCTCATTCTTATTTCTATGAAGGAAAAGTTCAGCTCCTGTTTGTAGCATTGTGATGGCTGGTGTATCTAGACTATAAATTAAAACAACAGCAAAAAAATACAGCTGCATCTTCTTCCCTCCTCTTTTAAGCAAAAGGAAATGTATATCCTGTGCCAAAAGGACTGGTCATTTAGAACCATGGTAGCCACCCATCGGTGTCGCTTAGTTGTTTTGCTTATTGGATGCCGAGCCATCTGCAGGAAAGGATGTAGTTATTTATGAGATTCTCCAGGAGACCATGGCTGGAGTAGTCTGAAGATTTTCTCCTTTATCAATGATTGACTCTGAAGATGAACTTTTCCAGATCTTTAGGCAGCTGATAAAATAAGTTTGGATGGGCAGCTTACAGTTACCACTGTACCAATAGATACGTTTTGATAGTATTATAAATGGGACTTACACAGAAGAAACGGATATAATAACCACTAAAGTTTATTTTGGTTTTCTTTTTCTTTTTTTCCTTTTCAAAAATCAAACTGAGCTTTATTAGTATGTTAGTCTTGATATCTATCAGAGATATCTAGAAGATCTTGACAAAGGAAAGGAAAACAAACCTCGTTCCTGGCTTTTTTAGAAAAAGACTAATACTGAGTGTAGTGTTAGCATCCCAAAAATACATCTTTTTTTTTTTTTTCTTTCACTGGAGAGAGATTCTTGCTTTCTTCTGATGTCTCCATTTTCTGGATTCCCTCAAAACACATTGCCAATTCCTGGTGACAAATGCTTACCCACAGCTGCCAAAAATACCATCTCGTTCCTGCACTTGGTGATTTGGCCCCCTCGGCCTTCTCTCCCCCCACAGGGGGAAGGACCTTGTGTGGTGTCTCATGGGCTTCTCATCCCTTTGCTCCTCAGCTCTGTGGTTTTTATGGTGAGACCACGGTGCGATAGCTCCCTGCCACAAAGCCCCCTTCTTCCTCCCAACCTGCCTTTGAGATTGATATATAGCCTTTAACACTATGCAACTTTGTACTTTGCGTAGCGGGGGGGAAAGAAACTATTATCTGACACACTGGTGCTATTAATTATTTCAAATTTATATTTTTGTGTGAATGGATTTTTTTTTGTTTATCATGATTATAGAGTAAGGAATTATGTAAATAGACTTGGTCCTGTTTCTAGAATGCCACTGTCTGCTCACTTCTTCATTCAGGTTTTCTTCGCTGGCACATTGCCCGGATGTATCCCCTTCACTCCCAGCTACAACTCTTTCCATTGTATCTCCTTCTGCCTTGTGTCCGCACCACCTCCGTTGTATAGCATTAACAACAACCAGCTTTTCCTACACACCCAGACTGCAGTGATGATCGAGCCTGGCCTGCTTCATGGCAGTGCTGTGGGGTTCTTAGTGCTGCTCCTGAGCAGAACGTCAGTCTGACCAGATCGAATGGGGTGAGAACATTTGCTGAAGGGGATCGATCTTCAACACTTCGAAACTCCACTATTGGAGGGTTGGCTGAGCCCAGCACGAGATGCAGATCCCTTTTCCGGCAGCTCTTTACTAAAGCTTTCTAGGCCAATTCTATAAAGGAGTACCTTGTTGCTGAGCACTTGGGGACTAGGAGTCGTGCTACTGAAGGGTAGCTGTGGAGAGGGGCTGTGTTCAGTTCTCCGTCCCCTCTCCCCTTTGCATCTCTTGGGGTATACCAGCGGCTACCGCAGTTGTTGGACTTGGTGGCCCCTGGGCTTTTACTCTTGTTCCTCCTAGGTCTCTACTCTCAGAAGGGGTGCAGTTCTGCCTTGCCAAGTTTTCCCATCAGTGCTCCCCAGCTAGTCCCTCTTACTGAGCACCCCTCTCCCATCTCACACTTTCAGCCCAGGTGCCGAAAAACAACTGCAAATAGACTGCCAAGGCTGGCTAGCTTCACTCCAGCAAGTCTGAGGCTGCGGCTGGCTAGCTTCACTCCAGGAAGTCTTAGGCTGCGGTGGGGGGAGAGGGGGGTCTATCAATTTTGGATTGTTTGTTTCTTCATCTGTGTGGTATATTTTTAAACAGAATTTTATTTTTGAAATGAAAGTCCTTTACAAGATGATACTTGGAATTACACTCTTGCAACATAGCCATCATTTTGTGTCTAGTTCCAGTTGTCTGTATTATATTGAATAAAATGGACAAAATGGCTGCTGGGGAAAGCCGAGTGTCATGAGAATGGATACTGTTACTTTTCCCTAGGAGGTTTTTTTTTTCCCCTCCTTGGGATTCCACCTGTGGCCTTTAAAAATGTGCCTTTATTTTAGCTGTTTGCCTTAAACTCTATGGTCTTGCTCTCCAGGGTGGTTACATAAAACGCAACACTTGGCATTTTTTATGTTTTAAAAAAACCAGTATTTTATTTATAATAAAATCTGAATATTTGTAACCCTTTATATGTGTGGTCTGAGTATGGAGCTGGGGATGCGGTGCTTTAAAAAGTAATGGATGGGGGGCTGAGAAGGTGGCGCAGTGGTAGAGTGCTTGCTTTGCATGCATGAGGCCCTGGGTTCGATTCCTCAGCACCACATAAGCAGAAAAAGCTGCAAGTGGCACTGTGGTTCAAGTAGTAGAGCGCTAGCCTTGAGCTGAAGAGCTGAGGGACAGTGCCCAGGCCCAGAGTTCAGGCCCCATGACCGACAAAAAAAAAAGTAATGAATGGATGGGTGCCTAGTCTCTCTGGATGACTTGTTTTCTTGTGAACAATCAACCTTTTTTTTTTTTAACCTTCCTCAGATTGGAATCTTTCAGTGTCACTCAGAAGTTGGCCAACTTTTTCTGTAAAGAGCTAGACAGAGCTGGGCACTAGGCACTGTCATCCTAGATACTCAGGAGTCTGATAGCTGAGATCAATGTTTGAAGGCAGCATGACCAGAAAAGCCTGTGAGACTCTTATCTCCACAATTAACTGCCAAAAAGCCAGTAGAGGTACAGCTCCAGTGGTAGAGCTCCAGCCTCAAAACAGAAAAGCTAAGCTTAAGATCCCAAATTCAAACCCTAGTACCTGCACACACACACACACACACACACACACACACACACACACATACACACACACGAACTGGATCGTATTTTGTTAGGCTTTGCAATTCCATCCTGCAATTCTAGCCACTCAGCTATTACATCCCAAAATAGCTTTGGACCCTTTGTAAGCAAATGAGCCTGGATGTGCCCCAGTAAAACTGTTTACAAAAACAGGCCAAGACGCTGCAGGAGATGCTGTAGTCCTGGTGTGTGCCCAGCACTTGACTGGTCAGTACAGAACATGTCGTAAATGATCTGGACTTCCTGGAGCTAGGGGATGCCTGCAAAAAGTTGCCTTTCTATATCTTTAACTGCACTTGCTTTCATCAGATGATGAGAACGAAACCCAAACCTCTGATAGAATAAGCGGGAAAAAGCAAGTGGCAGACTGCACTAACGCAGATGAGCCTCACTGTGCACCGCCTCTTCCGTCTCAGCACTCTCCTGATTGCTCCCGGTGTCTGTGGATTCTGTGACACTCTTCTGATATCTTATAAATTGTTCTAACTTTGGTACCTATAAAGAGCTTACTTGGTGCTGGTTCCAGGCTTTCTTGCTCACAGCTGGCAGTCTGCCACTTGAGCCAGGCCTCCAATCTGGTACTTTGCTGATCAATTGAAGACAGAATCTCTCTGAATTTTCTGCCTAGACTGGCTTTGAATCTCAATCCTAAAGGTAGCTTGGATGACAGTTTATGAGTCCCGGGCGCCCAGCTAAGAATCTGAACTCTTGTAAAAAAAAAAAAAAAAATGGACTTCCTCAGGGAATGCTTTAGAGGGCACTAGTTACTAGCTTTCTTAACCTGTACTTGTGTGACACACAAACAACACACACACACACACACCTTCATAGGTCTGAGAGACAAATGCAAATCCTTCACCTGCACTGGCAGCGTGGTGGGTGGCGTGCTTTCCACTAGTCACTGTAAAAGCAGGAGTTTGTCAAAAGTTGCCATCAACATAATCTGATCCAAAATGTCCCCCAATGTTTACTATTAAAATAGTTGGTTTTGTCAGTCTTGGGATTTTGAACTCAAGACTTTGCACTTTCTAGGTAGGTGCTCTACTACTTGAGCCATACCTGTAACCCTTTTTGCTCAGGATACTTTTGAGATAGGGTCTAGATTTTTGCTGAAGTCACACTGGACCTCAAGCTTCCTATTTCTACTTCTCCTTGTAGCTTGGATGACAGACACAGAAATGCAGTGACAACTTCCTTGGAGCAGAAGGATACATCCTGAGGGAAATGAAATCTCTCCAAGCTCCTGGTTTAAGGAAACAACGTTGAAAATTATAAATGCTAGATAATTGTGCCTGTTCACTAAAGCAGGTCTGAATGAAGTACAATTAGTGGGAGAGGAAAACAAGGAACATTGAGGTGAACCACCTCCTGCAGGGACTTATTGTCTGGAGTCTCCTGGGATGGTGTGCCTCTGCCCACCGACCAATGAAATTCCAAATAATAGAAGCAACACATGTTTAGAAAAAGCAAAATATTTGGTGAAAGTCCAATGAGAGGCCCCTAAGTGCCTGATTTGGAAATCAAACAAGAGATACACTTCAATATGGCACCCACTGTCATGACACTGCTTTAGCTTTGCTTTGGCTCTTCTGTCTGCCTAGAGCCATCTTTTCTCTCCTCACAACAGTACAGCCTAAGGTGTGACTTCTGGGGCAACTGACTTGTCCTAGGTTCACTGCACATCGAGTCCCTTGGCTGACTTCCAGGAATGACTGTTGGCATGTGTTTATTGTCCAAGTATTTCTCAGCTATTTTTTCCCCCACTACGTCTCTGTCACTTCCATGATCGAGGTCTATGCCATTCACGTTCCCATCCTGGGACTGGGAAGTAGACATGGCCACGCTGGTCTAAATGGTGTGATGGAAATTGGCCTTTCTCATCTCAAACCTGTTTTCTTCTGTCATGGAGCAGAGAAGGAAGCTGATGACCAATTATTCCTGCATTCTTTCACCTCCTTCCTCCACTATCCTGTACCCTTAACTGTCCCATCCAAGCAAAGATTACACACGCACATATACACACACTCTCTCACACACACACACACACACAGTCATGCAGTCTGCAACTGGATAGTACAATGTAATTTTTTTCCTACCCTGGAATTTTTACTTAAACAGTAAATCCATGTAGTTTATAACTGAAACAAAATCAACAGCATTCACACTAAAAATTCACAATTCTGAACAGGAATAAGAAACATAATTAAGTTATACTGAATATCAATCGCATATTCCATCCACTGTTAATTTATTTTTTAAATTCTAAAGTACAACACAATCAGTTTAGGGGCTTTGTTTGAACAAATGATCCCACATCTTTCCCACATGTTCCTAAACAACTGATTCAAAATGGGGATGGTCTTTCACATTTGCTGCTTGTAATTTCTAAGTGGCCAATGTTTAGTATTTTCACTTCTGGTAAGAGAAAAAGCGTTCTGGTCCATGAATTCACCTACTTGCCCCTGAAGGACATTAACCAATTCTGCTATTCCAAAGACATAAGTGTCATCGACGTCTTGAATGATGAACTTCTTCCCCAGTGCATTAAACTCGCCCAAGAACAGGAGGAGCTGCTCCGTGGCAGGATCGCATTCTGTAAGCACTCCTTTCAAGACGATGGCTATCTTTTCCCAGGCAGAAGGTGCAGATGGCTGCAAGAATGCCCACTTTTCCCAGTCGCTCACAGGCTCTGCACACACACCTTCCAGCTGGCCTGCGCATTACCAACCTAGTACAATGTAATTTTCAATGTCTGTGCTCTTGGGGCCTAGCCTCTCACCACACACTCCTAATGCTAGTTGTTTGTATCTTCAGGTTGAACTCACAGGCCCTTCTGTAAGTCTAAGTTAGAACATTGATTTCCTTTTGCTCTAACTTTTGGGAATGATCCCAGTAAAATGGAACCAATTAGTTGTTTTATCTTGTTTGTAGGCCTTGTAATTAATTTAGGCCATGAAAGTATTAGTTATGATTAATTTACATAGTTTGTGTGTATTTCTATAAAAAGCTGGGCATCTGGCTCTTGATCAAGAATGTAATCTTTGAAGTTGGGGATTTAGCTCAGGTGTAGAGTACTTGTCTAGCAAGTGCAAGGCCCAAGACCAGTCTCCAGGATGGCGGTGGGGGGTGTGGGGAAGGAAATTAGCACATACACAGTTTTAAACCGGTGTGATAACAGATACTTGTAATGTTAACATTT